TTCGTTGTTTCTAAAGACTTTGTTGAAGCGACCACTTCGCCTGGCGTATTAGCGGGCCCAATTCAGGAAGCCTTGATGCGCTCCGGTTAGCCATACGGTAACATTCCTAAGTGTTTTTATCTCTTCAGCATTACCCTGTCCGATCGAAGGTTAATATTCAATGTATTAGAAACTTGCCGTATTCCGACACCTATGAACCGTTTTGTCCCACGCCCGATCCGAAGGCTCGTCGGTAGCCATGAGCCGGTTCCACGCTAGACTGAGCGAGCCATCACAGCATCCGGCGACAGCAAAGAGAAGCCTAGCATCGACGACCACCGAGAAAGACCACGGTTTAGATAGAGGCAGTATCATTCAATGATGCATCAAATTAACGACCACGAGCTGAGGGCCAGCGCTGTCGAGCCCTGGTTGTAGCTGAGCAAGCGACAAGCCAGGCTGCAGCACTGGATCTACCCCAGACCTCGCTGCGAGAGCAGTTGTTTTCAGGCCAGTTCCAAGTTTGCCCTGAGACCAAATACTATGAGTCTTTCCTCCAGTGGTACTTTGTCCTGGCACTTTTGAAGATTTGCCTGGCGCACGAAACAGCAAAGACGAAACAGCTAAGCCTTGGCAGATATTGCCCCCATCCATTCACCGCGGTACGGAATAATCGCGGGCCCTAGTGAACGTATAATCGAGCTGAACCCGCTATCTCGTCTCTGGTTTGCCTATGTTAATGTCAGACTACACTAACAGCAAATATGTACCACCCTCAGTTACCAGAACCATGCTGACATGGGCAGTGAAACACAGTCCTGGTTCGGCCGTTCCCACGAGTCCGATCGGGATAGTGTATTGTGGCTGATTGGGAATCTTATCTAGGCGGCGAGCAAGGTAAGTTGCGAACGCCCATCTTGCGCCAGCTGCTGATAATTGGTGCTAGATCGAATGTATCCAACGGCAAATTGCTTTGGCCATGTCCCAATGCAGGCAGGGATTCAAGGCTGCCACCATGCCCTATTTCATGAACGAAGCTGACAAGTACGTTCTCATCACTAAGATAATTTGGATGTCAATTAAACGTGTTGTCAAGTCGCTATAATGAAGTTGGCCTTGTTCCCCCGATGATATTGCTCAATGCAACCGCAACCCGACCGAATGCCTCCTCGATTTCACCACGGAGTGGCACGGACTCGCCGGCAGAAGCAGCCTCGCAAGTACGGCCAGTCGATTGCCGCGACGGTCACAATGGCCCAATTGTTATCCGAAAGATGCCAGGTCGGTTTGTGATACATGGTGGGGAAGACGTGCTTGTTGACTTCAAACGTTGCCGCTGATGTTTCTTTCAGAGTAGACATCTCACGTATGCCCCACGCGACACGCTCAGGAACGACGCGCTGCGACGCGTGAGTGCACCACACCGCCTTATCCCTCCCGCGGCACGCGATCCCGCATAGCAACATATTTAGAGCGAGTTCCATCGGGCAAATGAATCATCATCGTCATCATCATTCGGACGAACATCCTTTTGACAAACGCTGCTTGGTCGGTAAAGGGTACTCTGCTCGTCGATTTATTCAGGCATATTCAGGCAGAAAGGCAAGCACTTCCCGACCTTTTCGAATTGAGTCAACTTCCGAGGCGGGGCGAGTACTACCCAAGCTTGATTGGTCAGAGCAATCGCCAGCTCCCGACTCGAGATTACAAGTCTTCGCCCTCTCCTTTTCTCATCTCCATGGGTACATGAAGGTCGCCCAGGTGTGACTCAAGAGGTAGGCACCGACTGAAATGTCGCCTGGAAACCAGTGGTCAGCCGACGAGGTGACTATTGCAGTTTATTTTTCCTCGCGACAAATCTGCTGTAAAGCCGTGCGCTTCCTGCTCTTGCGTCGAGGCTATGACCGTTCTGTCCCCGCCATCGAACGCAAGCTTCTCTCGATATCCCAACACCATCCAGATTTGCGGTCTTCGGAAGGCAATTGGGAATTGAATGTTGCTGATTCTTGGATCGACGCCGTCCTTGGTGACCATGAGTCGGTCAACCAACTGATTCGATTTTCATCGGCGGACGCAGAAGATGTGATAACTGTATGTTTCAGACTCGGGTTATTATGGCCTTATTTTGCGCTCACGACTTTGCTCACCCAAAGCAGAATCAACGAACCTCTGACCTTCTGAAAATCTTCGAGCTCCTTAATCGTCATTTTCGAGGTTCTCAGAGCCCCTGGGAGCTGGAAATGCACCGCACTGAAGTTAATCAGCCGGCAGCGATGGTGTAGTGGCGGGTACTCCGAGGAAACCTACTGTGGGGTTCCAAAAGTACAGTATACGCTACGCGAAGAGAAGAATCGCTTAAACTGTGCTTCACGCCCTCGCCCTGGTGCTCCGCGGAAGCTCGGAGGAGGACCGAGATCATATATACGACACTATTCAAAGTGAGCCCTCTATCAAGCGAGAAGATCTCCTCGCTGAGGTTGATTGTAAGATAAAAAAAACTTCGATCTGGTGCCTCACACGAGATGGGCCTTCGGAAGTGGCGAAGGCTTGAACGGCCTGCCTTAAGCCTGATTCACGCTGCAAAACGACTTGCTGGGCTTCACAGTACCAACTATTGTGATATGAGGCTTGTGCAGATCAGGAAGCAAGCCGCGCCATCGGAATTAGTTACCGAGGTGTCTTTACAAAGAGCCAAGTTGATCGTGTCGCTGTGTATATAGCCTCAGTTGTTCTCTTTTGGATAGACAATTAAATCTTCCTTTTAATTACAACAAGGCCCGCGTCTGACAGCACTGACCGCAGTGCGGCTTGTGGTAGAATGGTTGCCTTCTGTAGCGGATTATCAGCACCGGGTTACTGACCTTGAAACTCCCACGATGATCAGAACGTACTTTGCCCGCTAATGTTCATGAAGAATAAGGTCGAGGTAGCAGCTTCCAGACGTGCGAAACTGCATTTCAGCACGACCAAGTCAATTGCTCGCTGGATGACTGGCGCGATCGACGATAAAGATCTACATATCATGAATGGTCAGTAAGGAGGCATATGGAGGCGCTTCAAAAAACTCACCGTTCTCGCGACCTGGTTTAAAATGCCCAAAGCCAGGCAATGTACGTCGGTTAGGACCGTGACGAACAGTATAGCAAAAGGGTTGTGACTCAAAACAGCTTACACGTCAGCACAGTGTCCAGCGCTTGAGCAGCGATACAGATACCTGCTATAAACGTATTATAACCAAGCATAGGCAAAATAGAGGCGAGGTTACACGTTTCAGTACGATCACAAGTATGAGATTTCGGATTCTATCCGTACCAGAAAGAGACTAAGTGGATGTTGGGGAAAGGTATGTACAGTATCCAACGTAGATCTGTTGGCTCATGTTGTCTCGTGCCAGCTCAAAGCAGTGGTCAGGCACGATGTGCTCAATTGTGTAAGCACAAGTGACGGGCGAAATAAAGGGGGAAAGTTTAGGGTCTTTTGCCTGCCTAGGGCTGATTGTGGTATGTCTTGCAAGTGACTGCTATGCTGGCGAGAGATCTGGGAAATTTATAGTGCTGTGGCCCGCCTTGTTGCTTGCGCAGCGAGAATTGTAAGGATCCCGACAGAGCTGGCCCTCAGATTGTGGCCTGTTAAACCGTTTCACCATTGATTTTATGCTGCTTTTGGTGGCACCACAGTTTTGTTTTCGGTGTGCGATCAACGATTAAGGAGTCATTTTCCTGGAGAGTCAACATCCTTTCAACATTCGTGGCACAGTTCCTACAGGTTAAAAGATAAAGGACGCGTCGTGCCAACTTTTATAAACATGGATCTGAATTAGTCGAGATGCATACTCGCTGTTGCTGCAATCGGTGGCACGAAAAGGATTCTGCGGCCTCATTTTACTTGTTCTCAACGACGATAATTGCTATTTCGGTGATGGATATTCGACGGCACTCAACATCGTGTTCCTCAACGCCCCCAAACAACGCCGATTCCTGAGGATATATTTCCGAGAAGATCAATGCATTCGAGCCTACCGCAAATGGAGGGGAGCAAGCGGAACATGGTAGGCAGATGTGGAAGCCATCCGTGACTCTGTCAATATTATCATGCAAACCATCTCGTTACTACTGTATCAGAAATCTCGAATAGTGCCAAGCAAGCACTCACCCTGCGATCTTGTTCCGTTGCTAAATATGATGATTCAGCCCTAGCTGATCATGTCGGAACGTTGTCGTTACAGTACGGACTAGTACAGGCATAGCCAATTGAGTACTCGAGAGTGTGGATTTTGAATACTATGGAAAGTACAGAATATATGCGATGTGGGCTTAGTAAGGTCGTTTAGAGCCATGCCAACATGGTTGAAAATAGGCATATGGGGATGCTGAATATTCCTCGGACGCACTAGTAAAACTGCGACCCTCTTGACACTAACTATCTCCCTTGTTGCGGGTATTAGTCATCTGGTGCCACTTTTTCATTGGTTCATTTGGATTTCAGTCGCAATTACTGCTTCATCCAAAACAATTCAACGCTGCTTTTCGCTTCCAATTCCTATTTTCCCCCGCTTTCGTTTCAGGCCCGATGCGTGCAACGCGCGCGTCTTCCAGTTGGGTGAACGATGAATAAGCCTATCCTGAGGGGTCCTAGTGGTATTTGACCACCCCTTCAGTTCATCAGTTTTCTTTCTTCCTCTTTTCTTTTCTTCATCTTCTGTCCTCTTCGCTCTCTTTTCTCCCGTCTAGGCAATGGCTTATGATGACGAGGATGATAACCCTTTCATGTGGCCCCCAGTGCCATGCGGGAACGCTTAGGACCCCGATGGCACGGCGGCCGCACGAGCGGCCAACACACCACCGCTGCTGCCGGCCAAACGACCGCGGGCTCTGACACTTCCACTTTCTTCTGAAGATGGTGGAGACAATGGAGATGACGAGGGCGGCAGGAGAGATGGAAGAGAGCAGCAAAGCAGCAGCAGCAGATACATGCTGCGAAACCGGCCTGGCCCAAATATCATAAAGGCTGCCCGCAAAACTTCATTTTCGGGCCGTCAGCGCACAGCCGACCAATCGCAGTCTCGGCTGCTTTCGACACTGCCCGTCGAGATTCGCCGAGATATATGGAGGCACGCCGTAGGCGGGCAGCTGCTTCACATGGCCCGTGTCCCCAACAGACTCGTCGCTCTTGAATGCGCCCAGCCAAAGGACCTGACTAAGGACCTGGAGACCCACAGGCATGACTGCTGGTGCATGACGAGAATCGGAGCCCTTCGTGGTACCTTTACACGCGTGTACCGAGCCAAGAACAGTGCCCAGCCCACACGACCTGCCAACCTTCTTCCTCTGCTGCAGACCTGTCGGCTAGTATACGCTGAAGCAGTGCCAATGCTATACCAAGACAACATCTTTGATGTTGATCACGTGGATACACTTCTTTACATGAAAAGATGTATACTTCCTCAGCGTCTACATCAGATTACAAGACTTAACTACTCCTGGGATTTTTCTCAACTTCTACACCCAGACTCTCCACGGTACAAGACCTGGTTTGAAGCGTGCAATGTGCTCTTAAGTCTCAGCAGACTACAGGAGCTTACAATACACCTCACCGGAACTTTCGATGTAACCTCGGAGTATTACGAAAGTAAGTCCTGGGTGCCTCTGCTAGATGGACTCAAGCAGGCCAAGGCAACCAGGCGATACGACGTTTATATCCCATGGTCCGAGGAGGAGTGCAGCAGGACTTCCCTTTCACCTTGGTGTCTCGGCCCCAGAAGCCGTCTACCCTACGGAAAACTGCCAAGGGCGAGACCGTTACGCTATTTTAGGCTTTGGATTAGGCTTTGCTGGAGTTGGCTCGGTGTGGCTTTTTGTAAAATCAATTCAATTAGCTAGCTTATCTTATCTTGGAGACGTTCTAGGCGCCGGTAACTTAGACTTCTAGAAGGATACCTATGCCAATACATGACGGATATGACCTCATCATCTGTACCTTGTGATAGCCGGACATGCATGCATTTAATTAAGAAAATGCCGGACTCGAGTAGTAAACTGATGGTCTCCTTGGCAGGTGGCCCCTTGTCTTGCTGTTGTTGGCGCCAAACATCTGACTGCATACAGCATCACGTGGATCACCAGCCAATGCGCGCGCAGCCAACAAACCACTCAGCTCTCCGCTTCCGTGTGTTCTTTCCAACTTCTTTCTCTAGCGTTAGCGACAACATTTGAACCGAATAGTCTAAGATTGCTGAAACTAATGTCTAGACAATGATTGGTCCATGTGGTATTTTCAAATATATAAAGCCGAGGATTTTTGCAGCCAGTGCCTTCTGATAACTGTCATTTAGAATAAGACAGGAGAGAACCTCAACGAAAGAAAAAAATTTCGCCCGTCGGCGATGACAGAGCCGCAAGATGCGATGTCTCAAATTTGTGCGATGTCAAGAACGCTGATCATCAAGCATTAAAATACCAAACTTTCTGACCGTCAAACATTTGAAGAATTGCAATGTTATTTGGAATCTTGTCTGATGATAGGTCTGTTCAAACAGTTTAGTTCCCAAATCAACAACCGGGCGACTAGAATATGGAGTTAGAAACTTCATCGTTCACATTTGAGTAGATTCAGCATACAGATCATTTTCCTCCGGTGTATATGCTGTCAGAGATAAGATCTGGTCAAAATTTGAATGGCCAGGAGTCGAATTAGGAACATATGCAGGGGCTGCGTGGTAATTGTATGGTGAAGGAAAACTTTTGATGAAGCGTACCAATGCATTTCCTGTCAAAACTTCGCAGGCATGGCTGAATACAGGCTGTAATTGTTATGGGCCTGGTGAGGATACGGTCGTATAAGCAGAGCTAAGTAGCTGGTCACGAATATACCCTGGTAAGTTAATTTCACTTGGGGATCCGGGGTAAATTTATGTGGCCATCAAACGTTCCCATAAATTACCGATAAGCGGATGATCCAAAAAGCATGTCGTTGTTGCCGTTAGAAGCTAGGTACATAGGGTAAATGTCACAGAAGGATTTCACGTCAGTAATGAAGTCCAATGTCTCAATTGAATGGTTCTGAGTCACAAAACTCAGGAAAGCATTGAGTGTAGAAAGCTTCAGCGACTGATCGGATAGGATATTCTCTAAAGTGATACAACTAGCCTATGCGAACTAGCCGGATCGATCAACTCGATTCAGTACCTAGATAGAACAACTGTCTCACGATTGGATCTAACTGTACTAGTCTATATGCCTTCGCCCAACTCTGACAGTTAATCCACCGAGGTTGCCAGTTGAATCAATTTACCATACAAAACAAAGAAATGTGGGTTTTTTATGTGACCCACGAAATGCTAGCCGTAAGTTACCGCTTCATGCTCTGACAGGAAACTTCACCGATAGACACGGCCATATATGTGGTGACAGTCTTTGACACGGCGGACGGCGGTTGAGAAAGACCCTTAAAAGGAGATAGATAGAACTGACTAAGCTTGACAGAGTGTTGGGATCAAGTCCTGTGTTAGGTTTGGAAGTAGCTGAATGAGAGCGTCGGTGATTGTGAAACTGCTAGGTTCCCTGCATGAATTTATTGTATGCCTTTCTGCAAGTTTTCTCTCTCGGGAAGTCGTCCTTTCGAAATGAACAGACTGCATGCTGTTACAGTCATTTGATTTCGATGCAAAGAGCAAAGTCGGGTACAAGTATCAGTTTTCTATACTGAATCTAGGCATTTATTGAGATTTTTCTTGAAGCGCCCCGTGAAGCAGACAGGGCGCTTTCCGTAGTTGAGAACAGAATAATCTCAGGGATCAGCCAATCAATTCTTTTCTTCGAAATTATAATCCGAGTACGGCGACATATCTGCCTATTGAATATCCCCGGCAGAAACTTTGATTGGACAGCAGGCAGCTATTGTCACATTGAAGCTCGGCTAAATGGTACTCGGTCGACGAAGGCACTATTCCACTATCCAAGAATCGAATTGCTAGGACATCATCGATTTTCCACTTTGAGAGCGGGGATGCGGCGCTTTGATCGTGTGCAATAGAATAATAGATGTATATGGCGACCGTGGAGACTGCCGCTTGTATACATATATTGACCATAAACCATTTCCGAGCCACTTTGTACTCAGCCTCCAATACATCGTGGGATTATCCCCGTGGTTATTGTATGTGGCGGGCATTATTTTGATTTTTCTGACTGAGGTTAAGATCGAGGAGAGTTTTTTGAGATTTAGGCGAGAGTGATAGTAGAACAGGAATAAATGCTTGGAGGAAATTGGCGGCCGCGTTACGTATACACCATAGCGGCCATGAAGCATGCGTGCTCGACTGGATCGAGGTTGAGTTTTTGTTAATATCCATCTTCCGCATCACCTTGGCTGAGCGCAGACCGCAGGCGTTACACAGCGTTCAGGCACCATTTAGACCCCGCCGCCATTCTGATGCTTCGGGTTCGAGTGCAGCTACGGTAACGACCAGCAGTTACCGTCTTCTGCAGGAACGTGGTTAGATATACATGGCCCCACCAGTGTGGGTTGATACGAGTGTCATTCACAACGAGAGAAAAGGGAGAGAAGCTATTGACAAGTAACATATAAAGATACAATTTACTTAATCGACGCTATTTTGTCGAATTAGAGCCAGCAAAGCCGCCCACACCCTTGAACTCTTCTTGGCACAAGGGTATGTGCTTGTCGTCCTCGGGCTTGAACGCCTCACGCTGGGCCATTTGCTCAGCCAGTGCTTGCTTATGGTTCACCACGGACTTTCGTATCCGCACGAGAGCATCCTGATTCCGCCATTGCATTTGGGTAGGTGCGTCTTCATGATCTCCAGATATGATTTAATAGAATGTGTCAAATCCTGTTGATAAGATCCTCTCTCTGTTAGTACAGATTGAATCCTCGTATTCGACTTGGTCGAGTAATTTTCATTCATCGGCCTTTGAGCCTTGTGCTAAAGCGGATCTGAAAAGAACCCTTCAACCTTCCTGGGAAATACTCCAAAATCTGATTATAATAGAGATTTTGCACTTTATTTAGCCTACCATCCTCGGAGAAAACGGGTTCGCTCGGTGGTGGATGAAGAAAGGACTTGCGGCAGCATTCGCCATCGTCAGAACCGCGATTCGAGTTGAGAGAGAAGACCCAAAACCATAAACCATAGAGAAATGATGACCTCAGTGATTGCCGATACAGGTGGCAACCCAGTGATGTCTTCGCCACCGTCTCCGCAAGTAGGGAGATGCACGTTAATCTGCCACGCAATTGACTGGACAAAGACAGGGACAGGGAGATAATTTTTGCTAACATCAGCATTAAATCCAATCCACACTAATTTTATTTTGTTAGTCGCAGGTGCTGCATATTTACACGTACGTACTATTCAACTTGTCAGACTTGGCGTACGGTTCGCCCCCGAAACCTAAACCCCGCCACGCAACGTCTACTTCAAATGTCCCTCTGTTTTTCAGACAAACATCCTCACCACTCAACGACATTATTATGAGATGTCCTCGTCAAGCTCCTCTAGTCCAGGGGTCTGGATTACAGGTAGCTATACTGGCAACAGCAATGTAGTCCGCATCACCATCGCGACCTTTTTGGGCGTTGCCTTGTACAACGTGATCGAGCTGGTTGTGCTGATCTTCCTCACCTTTAAGCGATATCAAGGCCCCTATTTCTGGAGCATGTTGATAGCTTCCATGGGTATATTGCCATACTCGGTCGGGTATCTCATAAAGTTCTTCGGTCTCACATCCGCAACTTGGGTTCCTCTGACCCTGTTGACTGTGGGCTGGTGGACCATGGTCACGGGGGAGTCGTTTGTGCTTTATTCCCGACTGCACTTGGTTCTACAGAACCTGCGGGTGCTTCGCCTGGTGAAAGGAATGATTATCATGAACATCTTCATACTCCACGTGCCAACCACAGTCCTGACATACACTGCCAACTTTTCTGGCTCCCCGACCTCAATCTCGGGGTACAATGTCATGGAGAAGGTGCAGTTGACTGGATTCTGTATCCAAGAGGCCACAATATCTGGAATTTATCTGTGTGAGATCAGTCGTATGCTGCGATTGAAAGCCGACGATGTCAGCCGAAAGACTATATTGCAACTGCTCGCCGTCAATTTGGCTTGTATCCTTATGGATATCGCGTTGATGATCATCGAATTTATGAACTTCTACATATATCAAACAACCATCAAGGCCACTTTATACAGTATCAAACTGAAACTTGAGGTTGCTGTTCTGGGAAACCTGGTCGAAATTGCCCATCAGCCGCCAACGTTCAATGTGGCGGGTGGCCGGTACCCATCCTTCGTGGACGCAACCAGAATAGTATCGGATATAAATCACGCAGTGGCTGTGGGAACAGGCCAGGCCTCTGAAGAACATGCTACAAGTCTCAAGTCTGGAAGCAATTGACGTTGATGTTCGATAGGACCCTGTCCACTCCTCACCACGAGTGTCTGGGACAGTTCATTGTCATCTTCGTCCTAAAGGTGCTACGTACAAGGGTACAGGCCATTACGAGAGGAATAATTCCACAAGCCAACGTGACCGGTAAGCGAGTGGGCCATGTAAGCCTGTGTGCCACCCAACTCTCCTTCGCGCGCCCATGCCTTCTTCAATCACCCACCATCCCCCCAAGAGGTACGCTGTGTGCCCACCTGGTAACCTGCCATTCTTTCCAGTCAGTTACGAGCTGCCAATTTGCTCCGTCCACGTGGATTCTGGGAACACATATTTTCGCTAAAATTGCATGTGTTGTCTTCCTAGATCCGAAACTATTAGGGACGAGTGGCTCACTGGTCAAGACAGTTGTTTCCCACCCCCTTGCGCCAATTGATGCGGGCGCGATCACTTCAATGCATCAGTGAAATACGCTTCTATTTTAATCCCTACCTTCCTTATTCCTCAAACTTATGACATGGTCGAAATAAATTCTTGGTGCAAAACGATGGCATGGTCTCAAAAGATCATCAATCAGTTGGTTCTATACTATAGTAGTAGTAGTAGTAGTAGTAGTAGTAGTAGTAGTACACACATACACAATTTATTAACGCCCGGCGGCTAAGCCGAAAGGGCAACTATCACTGACATGGCATGGATATGTATTCAAGAGAGCTTCCACGTCAGCATGGTGTCAAGTGACCGAGCAGCGATCCACCTAGCTGCCATAAGCGAAGTTCACAATCGAGCGTAGACAAACTATAGACGAGGCAGCAGGCGCCTGTTCGAACACAGGTATAAGAGAACTTATGACCTTTTGTCCAGAGCTGACTATGGTATGTTTCGAGAGTGACGGTTGTGCTGGCAGGAGACCTGGGGTATTTATTTTGCTGTAGCCCGCCTTGTCGTTTCCACAGCTGCGATCACTGTTGAGGATTGTGAGTGTACCAACAGAGCTGGCCCTCAGATTGTGTTTTAACATTGCAGAGCAAGCAGCTCTTTTACTTTAAGGAAAGGAAAGGCTGAAATTCAAGGAATCAGCAATGAGACCTTTGCCGATCACAGATACCAATCTTCTGCGACATTCTCGCGCATAACCTAATCAATCTTGCCGCCAAACAAGTCTCTGCACCCGCCAGAATGGTGGACTCCGGAATTACCCGGCGTGCACTTTGGTGGTCTACAACCAAAGCGGTATACTACAGCAAGCCTTGTAGTGTTGAATTTTTGTTTTCCATTTAACGTGGTATGTGGGGTGCCAGGGGGAAACGCAGGATATTTTGGAAGGAATCCAGGCACCCCTTTGTTCTAGCCGCAGCGTCGATCGATTAATGGTACTGAACTAGAAAAAGTCCCATGATCTTGTCTCTTGTTAAAATGCGATTTCGCTCCATCGTATAAGGCCGATTCATCGAAGCTTCATCACTCATCACCGCCCGCTCAGTTATACAGTGCTGGATCAATATTTCTGGATGTTTAAAACACTCCTTCACGAGAAAGAAGAAGCGGCCCCTTGATATTGTGAGTCCGCTTGAAGCTGGAATTAGTAAAACGCGCCTTAAGCTGATCAATGTTTGTAATCAGAGCTGTCCTTTTAACGTACGAAAGGAAGCGAGATTTTGTTCGGCTTTTATCTTGGAGTAGGTGCTGTCGTAGCTAGACGCGTTTCCTCCGCGCTCGCTGCGCTTCACCGGCATCTTGCCTCACAGAGGAGGCTGAATGATTAGTTTACAGACTGGAAATACTTACCTCTCTCCTAGCAATTCCTCGTTTTTTCCTCTTAATTTTCAGAATCTCAATCAATCACTTAATCATGACAAAATAGAACTGCCGGTCACCTGATTGACCAAACAGTGCAAACACGATCCCCCAAAAATTACATCATCGGAACAACCAGATGAACCAGAACATGGCTGAATCTCTGAGAGAATATCAAGATCGAGCCTTCATATTCTCAGTCCTTTGATGCTACCGGGGGTCTATGATGGCACATCAACATAACGCTGCCCTAGTCCAAGGCCGTTGCATGCCTAACAAGGTCGACGCTTGGATACTAGGGAGCAGTATTGCGTCATTGGCGGCGGCAGTTCATTTGATTTCGGATGCCAATGTGCCTCCCTCTCAGATCCATATACTCGAGTCTCAAAGTATCCCTGGAGACGGCATAACTAGTATTGGCGATCCACTGAACGGATACGATCATCGACCTGGATGCCTGCCAAGTTTCAATGACATCTGCTTGGGAAAGCTGCTTGCTCTGGTACCTTCCGCCTGCGGTTCCGGAAGAACAGTCAAAGAGGATATCGAAAAATTGCATGACGATGAAGGCTGTCAAGACGTCCCTATCACACACATCTTGGCTCAAGAAGATGACGGGCCGAAGAGAATGGAAACCGGGAAACTCGGTCTGGGCCTAAAAGATCGAAATGAAATTGACGATGCTCATGTTGCGATCCGAGGAAAGGTTGACCAGAAAGCGAATTGATCAGCTTTTCAACAAGCCTTTTTTCGACAGCATATTTTGGATTGTTTTCTCTACTATGTGAGCTGCTTGACGAAAAGAAGACAATGAGATCGCGTAAATGCTAAGATTTACCTTCCAGCCATGGCACAGTGCTGCCGAATTCCGCCGATGCCTTCGAAGATACTTCCACGAATTTCGAAACTTAAACACTAAAAAACCACTGGACTGCATTCAATTCAACCAATTTGAATCAATCATCATGCCAATGATCCAATTTCTTCAAAAAGAAGGCGTTGATTTCCGATTATGCACCAAGGTCACGGATATTTTAACACATTCAGACCATGGTAAAGAAACTGTTTCAGCGATTAGTATATTGCGCGACAGCTCCCAGGAAACATTAAGTGTTCGTCCTGATGACATCGTCATCGTCACCCTCGGATCTGTCACATCAGGCTCGTCGAGTGGTTCCAACAATAGCCCGCCACCTCTGAAGACATTGATAGCCGAAGATGAGCTAGATGAAAACTGGTCGCTTTGGTTGAATCTGGGAACAAAGTATTCGAGCTTTGGAGATCCGTATAATTTCTGCACTCGCCTCACCGAGTCTAGGTTGGAGACCTTTACGGTTACACTCAGGGATGCTGAGTTCTTCTATCGTCTCGTTAAACTAACATACGACAAGCCTGGGGTAGGGCACTTGATATCTCTAAAACACAGCAATTGGAAGATCAGCGTCTGCATACCCCGCCAGCCATTTTTCTCTTGTCAACCTGACAACGTACAAATCCTCTGGGGCTATGGCCTCTGTCCAGAACGCGAGGGAAATCTCGTGAAAAAGCCGATGCTCGTTTGCTCTGGCGAAGACATAATGGCCGAACTGCTATGGCACCTGGGCTTCCCTTTGGAACCAATCCTTAACAACTCCATCACAATCCCATCTGTGATGCCACGACGGACAGCATCCCTGTTGCCTCGAATTCGTGGAGATCGGCCAACAGTAATAATAGACGAGATGACAAATCTCGCTGTGATAGGCCAATTTGTGGAAATACCAGATGAGACAGCCGTCAGTATGGATTATGGTGTGCGAGGAGCCCAGTTAGCAGTGAGCCATTTGATGGGCCTTCCTAAGCAACCAGAGGAGGCAAGGAAAAGACCTAGTTTTCCTTTCTTGAATTTGTGGGTTTGATGGAGCAGACAAAAGATACAGTACGGTAATATCCTACCATAAGACTAGGGTAGCGGATATCCGGGTACCTATGACGCTTTGAAACCACTTGGAAGTAATGAACAGTCCTAGTTTAGCTGCTGTATTGCAGCAGCATATTATCTATTTACTGAACTTCAGATGGTTTTGTTCAACATCAACTAAATAACGAAAGCCGTGTTATTCCTCAGCGCGTGATATAGTTAGTCTCTCCTTACTCCTTGTTTTTAGTTGAGCTGTTATACTCAATATCTATTCTCTGATCCAGAGAGCTTTTTCTTTCGAGACTCACGCTTTCTCCCCTATACATGTTCCCGATGGCATCCTTATCAACATTACTGGTATGGGGGACCGGGCATAAGGATGGAAAATGCTCTCGCGACGGAGATAGGCATATCTATTTTAATAGCGCCGTCATCGGTGATTTGATGAGCGGCGGAAAGTGCGGGATCACTGAAGTCGAAATAAGTACGTCTTTTCTGGCTGTCAGTCTGAATCCCCTTTGTGAAACTACAGCAGAATACCTTGGATCACTGCCCAAGTAGAGATCTTCAAGAAGTCGCTTTTAACATGTGCTGAGGTGGAATTTTAAATCACAAATAAGATGGGGTATTGGAAAGAAGCATCTAAGGCTAACACATAGCTATAATTACAGCTAATTGAACTGTCACACAGAGCTCTTATCTTCTGAAGAAAATCAGTTCTGTCGCATGGAGTCGATTTCGTGTAGATCGAAATACCTTTCCGACTGATGGCCCCATCACCATCAGCATCTAGCCTTTCAAATTGGCTTCTCGCCTCGTTTTCTTTCACAACCAAAGCCGAAAGCACCTTTTGGAACTCATTCCAAGTAAATCCACCTATCAGTGATGAGTATCCGCATATATTTTTGCCACAACATTCGGAAAGGCTGAGCTGAAGGGTTTCTAACCGTCACTTTCTTCATTCTGAAATGGGAAGCTTAGTGAATGCGAATAACTTATACAAGGTTTGAGCCATGACCTACACCGTCACCGGCCTTCTTTACCATTCAGGTTCGTATTTTTCGTACAATCCTGATTTATTGGTGGGCTACAGAAATTTCAGCATTGTCTTTGAATGATTGATAGAGGGGGTTGTTGCAGGAGTTGGATATCGTATGATACTTTGGACCTCTTACCATCGTGAAAAAAAGAATCGGTGTGTGCTGAGTATGAAATACTTATAATTCAGTAAATGTGCCAAAATTTAGAGTAAATTTGAATCGTGAGAGAAAATGAACAATTTATATGCTTTATTGATAATCAGCGCACACTTGGTAGCTGTAACTGCTCAATGATCTCCACCAGTCCTTTATCATTCATTACCTGGTTTCATTTGCCCGATGAATTTGTTCATAATGGTAGAGAAGCCCACCGGGAAAGATGACGCTGAGTGACGGTGGCGTGATGGTGACGGCCTATGACATCTCTCATCCCGCCTGCCCACGTATGTTTAGGAAGATTTCTCTTGGATCAAATTACACTCACATCTCCCATTTTCTGGCTTGGAAAACCTAAATATCATCGAACATGCAAACTGCGACAGGAGTATTCAAAGTGAGAGGTATCGCAGGGGCAACTGACCGCCTCAGCTGGTGTGAAGCCACTGGCTCCCCTGGCGTCAAGCTACACGCGATTCCTCGCCCCGGAACCACCATCTCGGAACATACGCAAACAATGTTCAAGGCGAAGCAGCTATCAGGCGATGAAACTGTTTGCGATATCATGCTGGATGCGCCTGCTTCAACTCCAATTCGAGTGACCCTAGCTTCATCCAAAAGAGAGCTCTCACATAGCAACCCTTATGTGTACGATATGCGCTTGCAGCTTTACCCGAAAGGTCTGTCCGGTGTCATCACAATAGTACTTGGTGAAAAGGCCAATCAAGGGACCGTCGCTCTGTCAAGCCTAACAGCAGTTGGAGATTATCTCGCCAACTAATCAACGATTAAAGGTTCTCGTTGTTAGATCGTACCCCTAGCTGGTGGCAAATACGGGCTCAACAAGTCCGCAATACACTATAACAATCGAGAAATCGGCAATTTCACTCAGTTACCGTTCTCTACTACTGCGAATTATTGATGAAATACGAACAATACTGGCCAGGCAACCAACGGAGATGAGATTAGGTGTGCCAAATCCGGATAATCTTTCTGCGTTGAATGTTATTAGAAGACTGTTCTGTTTGGAGATAAATAGGACTCATTCCCATGGTTTTTAAGAGATCCGACGCATCATTGAGTGATTAAAGAATAACTTCTCCCGTACTGCTCAATTGATCGGTTCTCGTTGCATGGGAGAACCGTAATGCGCAGGGTGGTTCCTTTTCTGTAAGCTGTTGCTACAATGGCTGCGGTATGTATTGGCTCCTATGCCACGTAACAGATAATTACTTTGCCTCCGGAATAATCGTGGGAAGACCGGGGAATTGAAATACCATTGAACGCCAGCGACATCTATACCTTGTCATTTTCCGCCAACGTTACAGACAGTGACGATATGTCAGCTGTCATGTCTCGGGCGCTTTCCAAGGCAATATTATGAAAAAGGGTGTCTATACGTTGTGACCTAGTATGTGGAGTGCTGTAAATTCAGTTTCTTGTCTGCAATCTCGTCCAGGTGCGTCAATTGCTCGGTATTCTGTTTAGGCAGCCCAGGAAAATAATCGGCCTAAGCTGCAAGGGAATGGAAATTTCAGGTATTCTAAATGTGTTAGTTATACCATGCTAGAAATGAGTCATTAAATTAAAGTTTCAAGCTATAATGAAAGAGGGCTCATTCCTCAATAAATATCCTGACGTCTGGATGACGTTTACATGTTCCCTCCCGCATTACTCTTTCCATTTTCACAAGTATTCTTACCTATATAGCCAAACGATTATTTCTACCTTTTGACAGTTCCAACTTGTCCATGTTTACAATTGGCTAGTGTTAATTTACAAATCATCAACTCCCAACGCTTCCCAACGCTTCCCGTCGGCCTCCCAACAATTGTATTTTAATACGCCGCGATGCCAAACAGTATACCAATTATGCTCGAAGTTGGAACATTTATGACGCCCATTAATGTCTACGAAGATATTTCATACACACAACTTTCGGATGTGGTCAGTGCATATCTCGGGAAGACAAATTTATGTGGACAGACCCCGAGGGGTTTCTGGGTGCGCTGGGAACGCAACGACCAGCAGAGCCCTTTTCCGGAGAGAACCCGAATCGACAGAGATAATTTAATGGCTACAATAACACTTATGATGTTAAGGGGTGGACGTGACGTCCTAGAAGTGGACTACCAATCAGACTCGTCACCGGGGTAATACGCCTAACTCAACAACTCCTGTTAGTTGGTACTTGCTGCTTTAATACCAAACAACTCCACAATGCACATCATGGCTGGCACAAGATGATTTTCGTAAGAAGATTGTATCGATATAGATTTTGATTTATAAAAACAAAATTCAGGGGCTTGGTTGTTTTCCTCATTCTGCCGCTCAACACCAGAGCGGGCTTCTGGTGAACACAGGGTTTATTAACAAGATACCAGCTTCCATCAATATCAAGATTGCTCCTTAATGGTAACAGGGACTGCTCCCGTAGTATCAATTTCATTCCATTTACTAAATTCAACCATGTACCTCGAACTGTGGTTGAGCTTCTTGAGTTCGTTCGGTTCTTCGGGATCCATGGAGGATCTTCAGGCTAGACTGTGTATCCTCGTATCCTTTACATCGTCCACGAGATCGATGCATCCTTGGGACCCTTACATAGAGCACACGGTCCGCATACCACCGTTGTCGCATATCGTTCGAATGGAATGCATCTTATATTCATGTGACAAAAAACCCAATAATTTATTTGCATGGGCATGGAAAATGAGTTCGGCCACTGTAGGTTTATATGAGAACAAATTTCATTAAGTGAACCTAGCGGATAAGATAAGGTACAGACAGATTCCCGCAAATCTAATACAATTTCCGACTGGATGGAATACATCGTAATTGCACCAAACAGTCCAGACGCCGTGTTCATGTGATTGAGAACAGGGAAAATAGTATTCTCGTTTGTACCCACCCAAGGTTCATGTGAAGACAAGCTGGTTCTTCTTGTCCTGGTGAACTTCTAGGCCAAATTGCCTCCATGAGGAGTCTGTTTATTGGACAAAAGTCTTCGGAAACGTCATAATGATGTAGTTTCAGCGGTCACCCGTCTCTCACTATTATCCATCCCCTCGAAATTACCAGCCAGTGGCCACTTTCATTCATTCAGAGTGTAGTATTAATAAAATGTGCAGAAGCTCATACCTAATTTTACGGATTTAGAATATTGAAAACTTTTGTGGGGAGGGGGGGAGGGGGGGATGCGTGTTTTCACTGCCTACTCCGTACCAAACAAATAACCTATGAGGCTATCATCTTTTTCGATAGTACGTAGATCGTTCACGTATTATAACCTGAGTCTCAAATGTGAACTAGCCCTAAGGACGGAAAAGTAGCGTCAGGAGGGCAAACAGCAAAGTGTCAATGCGGTGAGCATGTGATTACATCCAAGGCAAACGTGTCAAACGATTGAGATACCGCGTCATATCCTCAAAATTTGTAACGGTTTGAAATTCTTCGTTCTATCATCTGTTAAGTGAACTCAAATTTGCTTAAAGATGAAGGCGGATACTTGAGCAGTACGCTCCGATCACCAAACAATGTCAAGATCTCTCTATGGTGTGTAACAAGTCTACTATTACGCCCTTGAGTATAATCAAAAATATCTCTGGCGTCTACTGTTTATCTGAATTCATTACTGATTCAAATTTAGTCCTGTGGTCTCAAACCAGCCACGAATCGGACCCTGAGCAAAATATGATTACCCTGGTGTTCCAAGGTGAAAATATTCTGCCTTCCGATATTACTTTGTCCTCTACGACTCTATCCTTAGCTAACGAGAAATACGCTTGCTCTTTGGAGTTCTACGGTCAAATCAAAACCCATAATCCGAATTTTAATTATGATGGTTCTTATCTTATGCTCAGGGTGCAGAAGGAGCAATTCTCAAATTCATACTGGCCGAACTTGACAAAGGAAAGACTGCCATATGTCTTAACAGATTTTGACAGAGTAAGATTCCAGGAAAACAATTTTCCACCTTGGAAATTCCTGACGTCTTCTGATTGATCGCAGTCTGTTGAGTTTGAAGATCAAGATATGGAAAGCCTTGAATGGTTTAACATGGACTCACATCCCCGGAGAGGAATATAGTCGTCGCGATCCTCGTGCGGAATTAACTCTTCATGGGATCATGTGAAAGCATGCAGCATGCCTACGCGAAGGGATGAAGACAAAGCGAAAAAGAGGAGAAAGGGAGAGCGGTTATTAAGAAAGAGATTGTGGACATCAATACGGGCCCAATTTGTTTCATTGATTTGCCGATTAAGGCCAAATTGATGTCTGCTGATTATTTGGTTTTACTTCGCTTTTATTAAACCCATATTTTCACTTGGTCATGATTTATGCCCGTTAAGGTATTAATAGCTACCCCTGGAAAGAATTTCCTCTTGCGAGTCTGTTTATCGTTCCCTATGTTTACGATATATCAGTATCACCTGTAATAAATCTCCATTCCAATTCCCAAAAGGGAGTGGTTTTATTGGGGTTGCCTCACAATGCCTGTAGCCTCACGTGATATCTACACCGACATTACTGAGGGCCTCTTCCTCCCACAACTGCTTCACGAGAGTCAGTTTCTTGCCTCTGCGGGTAGCTCGTCATCTCTCACGCAGTCAAGTCTTGATTTTGTCCCTCCCGCCTTCCCTCTGTATATAGAATCCACTACAATACAAACACATTGCCTCCCTTCAGGGGAGCGCGGACGGGCCCTATCTGACGCTACGGTCTACAACCGCAGCAACAGGTGACCCGTTATGGCCAAACTACACTCTTCTTGCTCCTCTTGACTGCGTGAGGTCACCAATAAAAGGGAGATATACCACCTACCTGCTCTGTATCTCGCAGTCAATAAATCCCCTCAGCGCTTAATACGGTCGGATACCCCTGAACGCTCAGCCACCGCTTGTGAGCTCTTACGTTCAGCATACAGAAAGATACGCACTGACAAGCAATCGTTGAAAACGTTATAAGAGGAGAATTTGAGTATTTGAGCTATATCTTGTGCGAAGATGTCTGATATTACAAGGGAAGATCTGATGCAGGTCCCGCTTGACCAGAAGCTTCAGTCAGAAGCGCAGTGGAGGGTCTGGATAGGCCATATTAAGTCAGCGGCTGTTGCAGAAGATGTATGGGATTATCTCAATCCTGATAAGGCGGACGATGAGGTCCTACAGGTGCCTGAGGCTCAGAAAGAGCCCTCCTTGCCCCAGGACAACCGCCAGCGAGAGAGAGATATAATGGAGCTCGAGGATGCTGGGCTTAAGAGATACACATTCGCTGTTCAAGCGTACGATCGTCGCGATCAGCGCCGACAGAGGTTGTCGAAGACTATGTCACGTTTGAATAGTCTTATCATCCGATCATTAGCCACGGAACACCACTATCTCGTTGTAGGAGAGGATTCACCACGGAAGAAGCTGATGAAACTATCCGAAACGTTCAAACCAAAGCCCCAGAATCGTCAGCAACAACTTCGCCGTGCTTGGAGAGAGATGATCAGACAAAAGCCTTCAGGAGATACTAACTGGTTAACTCAGTGGGTTAGTTTATTCGAAGAAGGCAAGATCGCAGGTATACCTGATTGCTCAAACGGAGATCACTTCGCGATCCGAGACTTTCTTGACGCTGTACAATCAGTTGATGATACCTGGTGCACAGCTTGGCGTGAAAAGCTTGCAGATCAGGACAAATCTATTATGTTTCACGAAGTTATAGCTAGCTACCGCAGCCGCCGTGGGGATCTCGCAATCACTGAAGGCCGGAGGCAGCCAAAGATAGCGCTAGCTACATTGAATGGGGAACCTGAAGCTAAACCTGCGGAAAAGACATATCGCAAGAAATGCCCATGTGGTAACAGCCATCCTCAGCATCACTACTCAAAATGCTTCTATCTTAATGAATCACTTCGGCCAGAGGGCTGGAAACCACGGGAGGGTACTATTCAACGGATTCCTGAATATATCAAGCAGATGAGCCCTCAAGATCAGGAGAAAATCGCAAAAATACAGCAAAATAAGGCTGAATCAGCTTACTTAGCTAGATTAGCCCAGTCAGAGGGCTCATCCCTTGCATTCTTCGCCAACGATACTCAATCTATCGCTGCGTCAGCAATAGATGCTGGGTCTCTCAAAGATAGCTGGATTCTTGATACAGGAGCCACCTGTCATATCTGCAACGATCGCCGACAGTTCCTCACATACAAACCACAAAATAGTACCGTCAAAACCGGTCAAACAGTAACACCAATGATTGGCTATGGGCAGGTCAAGATCACTGGGAGACACCCTCGTACAGGCGCTGCAGTGCCTATTACCCTGGATAACGTGTGGTACTCGCCTGGGTTTCATACAAGCTTGATCTCACTCTCTGTAATCGAAGACAAAGGATTCTGTTTCAAATCTGATAGAAGAGCAATCTTCAAGGGTAAAGATGCTGTTCTTGAGATAGAGAAGCATCATGGCCTCTACACTGTGATATACAATCTGAATCAACAAGCAGCATTTTCCGTACGACATTCAGAGAAGCCTCATATCTCAACAGCTTCAGCGCAGCGCTGGCATCGTCGGTTAGGCCACGCCTTTGACCAGAAGATTGAAAGGCTACCAGAGATGGTTGATGGAGTCAAGATCAATGGAGTCTGCGAAGATAACCGTCATGATAACCCTGAAAGATGTGAAGTCTGTCAGCTGACGAAAGCTAAACGTCAGATCTCTCGAAGGACAACAGGTACGCCATATGGCAGGTTTGGGCGTATCCATTTCGATCTTGTTCAAATCGATCCAGTCTATAATGGAGATCGCTGGATGACGCACTTCTATCTTGAGGGCGTACGTCTCCATGCGGCCTATACCCATGAAAAGAAGAATGGCTGTCAAAAAGCGGTTAGTCAGTTTGTGGCCTTAGCCAGGAAGCAGTGGAACCTTCCGATACAAGCCTTCCGATACGACAATGAACGCTCTGCCGGGCGTACAGTGCAAGATTTCCTGTCAAATGAAGGCTTTATCATTGAACATAGCGTGGTGGGCACCCCGGAACAGAACGGCTTTGCGGAGCGATCTGGGGGGGTGGTAATCACTGTGGCGCTCGTGCTCTTATAGCTGATGCAGGCCTCCCAAAGAGTTTATGGCCAGAAGCCATTAGAGCTGCTATATGGATCATCAACAGATCGCCCACGAAGTTGCCAGACGGCCGGTGGATAGTTCCTTATCAAGAGGCTTTCCTTAACCAGCCACAACAGCGTGTCAACCTCGCAAATCTAAGGATCTTTGGCTGCCGAGCGTACGTGCGAAAGCAAGCTATACCGCACGCGGCTAAGATGGAGCTACGTGCTGAGATAGGCTATCTCGTCGGCTATGAAGCTTCAAATATCTGGAGAGTGTGGTTTCCACGCAGAGGAGCCGTACGATCAGTGAGAGATGTTGTTTTTGATGAAAACGTATTCTTCAACGCTCAGGAGCTGGAGAAGAATCCTGCTAGCGATATCTTAGGGTCTATGCCATGGATAATTGAAGATGAGGATACTGACCAGAGTACCACTGAAACAAGCCTGGATATACCTCAACCAGTCGAAATCACTGTGAACTTACAGACAACTGAGCCACAGAGCTTAGCTAAGGCTCCTCAGAAGGAAATAGTTACCTTACCGCCAGCAGAGCCTCAACAGATGATATCACCATCACCTACACCATCTGTTCAGCCAGTACAGGTTCCAGGGCCTTCCCAGCACCATCAAATCATGATCTTCAAGATCAACTCACTGAACAACTTCAAAGTGAACTCTCAGCAGCTACTCCTACACAAGGGGCCCGAATTGCGCCTAGAGATATTATAGGAGATATTTCAGCTCGCAACATTGTGTCAGGCTCACGCAAGCGAAGATCCAGAGATATCAGCAATCTAGCCTTCTCAGAAAACAATAAGGAAGCTGAAGAGGGTATACTCGCTGCCTTTGCAACTGGCCTTAATGGATCTTACTCGCATTCGAAACCTCACCGCGATGATCTACCCCCAGAGCGTCAAAACTGGCGGGAAATGATGAATCATCCATTCAATGAAGGCTTCCTAGCAGCTGCTGGACTCGAGATCAAAATCATTGAACGAAAGGGCACCTTTGAAGTTATACAGCGTCCGAAAGACCACGGTGTACAGGTGCTCCCCTTGAAATGGGTCTTCAGCTATAAATTTGACAGTGATGGATATCTTGCGAAGCTGAAGGCAAGGATTTGTGTGCGAGGAGATCTCCAGAAACTCTCTACAGATGAGAAATACTCAGCTACCCTCGCTGCTCGTACGGCCCGCGCCGTTCTCGCTCTCGTCGCTGCGTTTAACCTCGATACACACCAATTTGATGCTGTAAACGCCTTTCTTAACAGTTTCCTGGATGAAATAGTGATAACGGAGATGCCTGAGGGATTCAAACGACCTGGCTATTGTTGGAAGCTCCAGAGAGCCCTCTACGGCCTACGGAAATCCCCGAGGCTTTGGCAGCGCGAGGCCTCTAAGGTTCTAACTACACTAGGTCTCACTGTCGTTCAGGAAGATCTCTGTCTCTTTACATCGGATGGTATCATCATATTCTTCTATGTAGATGATATCATCATCGTCAATCATCCATCTCAGCGCCAGCGAGCGGCTGAGATCAAGGAGAAACTCAAAAACACATGGGAATTGAGGGATATGGGTGAAGCTGCGTGGTTCCTAGGGATTCGTATCGTCCGTGACAGACAGCAGATGGCCCTCTGGCTCTGCCAGGACTCATACATCTCCTCTATGGCCAACAGGTATCACCTCACCTCTCATCGTCGTTTTGATACACCTTTAGCCCCAGCTACATTAAAGCCGTACGCTGGACAGGCCACAAAAGAACAAATTCATGAGTACCAAGAGAAGGTAGGTTCCACTCAGTATGCCACCACTATCACACGGCCATATGCAGCCAAAGCCACCTCCTTGCTGGCTCGATTTCTCACAAACCCGGCACCGGAGCATCTCGAAGCAATCAATCGCGTGATATCCTATCTATACCACACACGGTTCCTCGCTCTCGCCTACCGACCGCGCCAATCTGATGATGATGAAGCCGTTACTCTCTTTAGTGACGCCTCATTCGCCGATAACTCTGACCGGAAGAGCTCAGAAGGATATATCTGCGCTATATTTGGAGGACCTGTCGACTGGAGAGCTGGTAAACAGCGTACTGTGACTACCAGTACTACCGAAGCGGAGTTACTGACAATCTCAGAGGTTGCAAAGACCATGAGCATGTGGAAACGTCTCTTCAAAGCTATTCGTTTTGACCCAAAGCATGAACTTGCTATCCGATGCGATAACCAACAGACGATTCGGCTTCTCACCAAGGAAGCTCCTCAGCTATAAACGAAGTTACGTCACGTTGATATACACCACCACTGGCTCCGTCAGGAGGTCCAGGCTGGCAGGACTTTTGTTAGAGATATCAAGGTCTTTCTTGTCAAACCTCATTTACCGCCTATACGGCAAGCTATGTGTACAATATGAAGCCTCAAGTTGATTGAGGGTTGGTTGGTAATCAATCTGGTCCTTCACATTGGGGGGGGGGGGGAGGCAGGAATCGTTTTCGTTGTAGACCTTATAAGACAAGTAGCTTTTTGAGTTTCTGGCAGAAGTGTTTTGAGTGGTATCGCGTTTGGAGAGTATCTCGATATATCAATCTCATTAGATATCAACAGCGGTATGTGGTCGGGAAATCCATCCCCAAAGAGCTAACAACAGTACTATCGATGACCACTGAACATAGTTCTTGCGGAATGGCAATCCTGTAATGCGAGGGGTGAGAGCTCGTGGAAGTTATTGTTTTTCGCGATATCGCTCGCTTCTTAGATTCATCAACTACTTGAGTGAACCTTCTCAATACGTACGCCGTATTTAGAGACCAGTAAATTTACGCCGTCAAAACAGCGGTCGCATTACATCATGTTGCAGGATCTATCCAGTCGACTGCTGGACTGTGGAGCCCAAAAAAGTAGCACGACACCAACTATCACATACCCCATTCCCCGGATCGCCTCCGAAGACTCGTACTTGGTATTTCCATTTAAGAGCGTCTTGGATACCATCCAAACCCTTCCGTCACTTGTGTCAAAATACATCAGACTATTGCAATAGCTGATCTCTCGCGATGTATCAGCCACCGACTTACGGGCGTCCCATTCCCAAACATAAGATCGCAAGATGCCAGCTTCGCTTTGGAGAGAAGTCTTGGTCTGGTCAAACATTTGACGTATGAGTTCTGCAATATCTTCATGCCGTGCTGGATGTATAGCACTGCCGGTGAACAGAAAGCTCTAACCTCAGTCTAGAATATATATGTCGGCATATCTGGGGTGTTCCGGTGTTTAGGTCCCAAAGTTGCGATCGCCATCAGCAAGTCCAACTATCTGGTTGATTATTTGGAGCTTGAATTCACACACGAAGAGCCCCAAGTGCCTTCCGCTGTCATCTGTGACTCTCTAATCGCCGAGCTGGAAAATTACAGCAGGACATATCTAGAGAAGATCGTCGGCGTGGCATTGCCAAATGAAATTGATGAGATACTCCCGGATCTGTGTTCGCGGCTTTGGATGGAGCTTGATTGTATTCCTCTGGTTTTAGGCCAGCAAGAAAGACGACGCCAGCCGGCAGACTATAGCATCCTTTCAACCTATCGCGGATGGAATGAAAAACATCTTGACGAGCAAGCAGACTCGATGGTGAGAAAATGCATTAGGTATATCTGGCTGCCCCCATAAGCATCCATTTTCAATGCTGATACTTATAAGATCATTTGGTGTGGGGAACATACCACACTTGGATATTGGCGACCACGGAATAGTGAATATTGATACTGCTTTTCACGTGCACCTTTCACAGGCGAAGGATTTCCAGCATAGTGTCACACCACGAACATGGTCGCTGGTGCGGCACTATGCTACAGATCTCACAAAGCGGGGTGTTCGAATTGCTATTTTTAGTGCGACAGCCCAAGGAAATGCCGCTGCAAATGCTACGATATTGCTTCTCCGATTGTCACATTGCCTTGACATTGATATGCGGTGGTAAGTCAGATACCGATTTGCTTTCTGCTAGAAGCGTTGGACAATTGAGAGTAACAACACGACTCAGGTATCTTGCGGACCCATCTCCCAGAACTTCTTGCCTTGTTGAAAAGATGCAAGAAATACTGCAGGGATTCTCATCAGATGAAGCGCACCTTACCGCTGATGAAAAGCTGCAGATACACAAATGGGTATACAAAAATGCTAAATCCCACTAGATACACCCCAGCGGTCCTCTTCGCTCAGCTCGAGAAGGTGGCGCCGATGTCATTATTATTGACGATATAGCCCTATCTGAATTGGCTCTCATATCAAGGCAACAGGACTACCAGCGGCCCGTCATTTTCCGAAGCCACACGAATCTATTAAATGTGTCAGCTGTATCTGTCGACAGCCCACAGACAGAAGTGCTCGAATTCATCTGGTCGAAATTAAAGCATGCCAATGTTCTGGCATGTCAAGCTCCAAGTCAAATAGAATCCAGATTGATATCAAGAAGCAAAGTGGGGTACACATTGGCCAGCGTTGACAAGTAAGGCAGCTGCCCAACTGCAGAAACGTTACATTAACATCGTTCTGGCAGGTTTGACGGGCTGAACAAAAATATGAAAGATTGGGACCTGGCTGTCTACGGTCGTCAGTTCCACGCTTTATGTAGGAATTCTGGCATAACGGCCATCGATTATCCAAACGGTAGGCCATAAATTTCGAATTACAATCTACACAAACTAATGAAGTCACCTACAAATTAAGATAAATACATTATTGTTGAAATGGCAAATACTCCATCATTCCAGCATGCTTTGACAGTTCTTCAGGCTTACAATGAGTATTACGACCTCCTAAAAGTCTCCGCATCGCCACCATTCCTACGCAAGCTACTTCTTTGTGTCCGCCAAACACATGGCAATACTGATGGAGATTTCTACGCTTCCGTCGCATCTCACATTGCCTCGAACATGAAAGATCTTGAAAAGTTCATCGCTGTCACGCCGATCAAGCTTCCAGATCAAATTTGGAATACTCTTCTTTCCAAGGCGGAGCTTGTTATCTTGTTCTCTGACTCCAAGGACTGCGAAGGCAGGTTCCTAGAGGCGGTCCAAAAAAAAAACAAAACGATCATAAGAACCGAAGGTTTAGGTCCATATGCCTCTCTCGTGGAAATAAACGAAAATGTTTTTACGGTCGGGATTGCGGACTTCCACGCTATGGGCCAGTGTCTATTTCAAAACCTGACATTGCAGGGGCACAGACACCCATATAATCCCCGGCCGAACAATATCTGCGACGAAATTACCACTACTGGAAATGCTGTGAACTGGCTTTTCCTTGCTTCGGCACTATCTAACGGAGACCGTATTGAGCCGAACGGTGAATACATATACCGCTTGGCACAAGGTCGAATGGAGGAAAGCTGACCAATAAAAGTCATATTTTATCATTGCTGAGCTTTTCGTGGTTTAGAACACTAGAGTGACAAAAGCCGATTGCAAAGCCTCCTATTGGGAGTATATGTTGAATCAAGTTTCGCCAACTTACAAAGTGCTCAACCACTGTATAAGGTCTCTGGAGCTATCATGATGATCTCGGATGCTAAGTTACTTTGCTGGAGGGCTGATGCAGTTCGTCTCTTAATTTCAGCCAGCTTTACGGGCGGAGCATTAACCAAGTAATCCTCTCTTCAAGTCCACGCCCAACTCATTTGGCAAAAATGCTTCAACTCCGCAAACAAAGTCGTTGTAGTCCCTTTCAATCCATCAAATACTTTATTCATAAATTCGATTCCCAAATTCCCCTAATAAAAGACATGCGGTCGGTGCAGGTATTAGTACTATCCGACGCCATTGTGCAGTCCAACGGCCGTTTTAGCAAATAACGATATCTTTGAAGACTTTATATATGTTGAATGGTGTGACCGAAATAACCACCTCCATCCGATACCAAGCTTAATATCGTGAACAATAGGCCAACTGGGAATTGTTGGCGTGGATCGCGCGGTTATGAACCTTGGAGTTGGATAAGTTAGCCCGAAACATTCCATTCTCCGTTATATTCAGCTTGTTGCAGCCTCTGGATTTCCATTATGGGAATCAGCATATGTAAGACAGACACGAATGGATATGGGGCTAGACTACGCGACTTCCGCCGCTCGAAGATTAAGCATCACCGCAATCGCATTTATCCTTTGTGACGGGACATTTCAACCATGGAATTATCCGTAAACGCGTTAGTGGCTTGTGGTACAGAGGGAAAACTACCAGTGGTAGGTCCCCTTTGGTCTGGCTGACGCTCAACTGATAGTTTTTTGTACTGTAGATCTTAGGCCAAATAATGAAGAAGATTCAAAGAACAGTCCATTTCACCTCCAGATTTGCGGCATCTGTAGACTTTCTCGTCCAAATGGGTGCCTCACATGGAAAATTAAATGGTAAACTGATTAAGAAAAATGCCCAAGAACAATCTTTGCCCCTCAGTCATAATTTTATAAACTCATTTCAACGGACCATAACGAAACTACTTCGGTTGATCTGCTAAGTTTTGGAATAGGGCCAGGTCCAATTCCGAATATGTTCTGGATCGATACCGTTGCTGCAAGCTTCCATCTTCGCAGCAAGCTGAATATTGATCAGCTTTTCTCGAACATGAGATGTTCTATTCCCTGAGAATTCGATCAAGTCGATTGCATCGATGGCAAGGCTGTATCTATCGGTCTGGTTGCGCATAGCCAATTCGAAAGGGGTGTCAATATTGCCTTTCTCTTTATAGCCCCGGACATGTAAGTTGCTCTGCCCAGGACGGTTGTATGTGAGACGGTGAACGAGCCAGGGATACGAGTGGAAGTTGAAGATAATAGGTTTTTCTTCAGTAAAAATGGCCTTCCACTGTTGATCGGACATGCCGTGCGGATGATTGGCTTTGGAAATCAGCCGAAAGAGGTCCACTACATTAACGAAGCGGATTTTTAGATACGACATATGTTCACGTAGGATAGCGGTGGCAGCCAGCGCTTCATACGTTGGGACATCACCGCAAGACGCGATCACTAGATGGGGGTCCTGGCCTTGGTCGTTACTGGCCCAGTCCCAGATTCCAAGGCCCTTTGTGCAGTGTTTAATAGCCTCCTCCATTCCGAGAAATTGGAGGTGATCCTGCTTGTCGGCCACTATCACGTTGACATAATTCACACTGCGGAGGCAATGGTCCATAACGGAGAGAAGTGTGTTCCCGTCTGGCGGCAGATAGATCCTGACCACTTCCGGACTTTTATTGGCCACAACGTCTAGGAAGCCGGGGTCCTGATGGGTGAAGCCATTATGGTCTTGTCTCCAGACGGTGGCGGTGATGAGGATATTGAGAGACGCGACCTTTGCACGCCATTCTACCTCAAGACATTTCTCTATCCACTTGCAGTGCTGGTTAACCATAGAATCAATGACATGGATGAAAGCTTCATAGCTGTTTAGTAGGCCGTGCCTCCCAGAGAGAATGTAGCCCTCCAGCCACCCTTCACAAGTGTGTTCACTGAGCATCTCCATCACCCGGCCTTCAGTGGCCATGTTTCCTCCATCTTTATCTTCTTCAAAGTAATCCCCCATCCAGACTTTCTTACCTGCGGCATATATTCGAGACAGATTATTGGACTCGGTTTCGTCAGGACCAAAGACCCGAAAGCTAGTCATATTCTTGGCGACAGTATCACGAAGAAAATTCGACATGTTCACCATGCTTCCTTTGATTGAAACACCCGGGTCAATGCCGTGCAGGGCATAATCTCGGAAGTCTGTCAAATTCAGTGGTCTACGAAGAAGACCGCCATTTCCAATTGGATTAGCACTCATCCGCGATTTGCCCACTGGGGCAAGTGCCTTCAATTCAGGTACGAGCTTTCCGTCTTGGTCAAAAAGCTCTTCCGGCTTGTAACCCTTCATCCATTTCTCCAGCAGCTTCAAGTGGGATGAATTCGTAGCGACATCGGTAATTGGGATCTGGTGGGCACGCCAGAAACCCTCCAGGAACCTTCCATCGACCTTCCTTGGTGCGGTCCACCCCTTGGGAGTACGGAGAACTACCATTGGCCACTTTGGTCGAAAAGCCCCTATAGAATCCCGAGCTACCTCCTGGTACCTCTTGATATCCAAGACACATTGCTCAAGCGTAGCGGCCATGGCCTGGTGCATGCTGTCCAAATCACTTCCTTCAACGAAATATGGTCTCCATCCATAACCAACGAACACTGATGACAATTCGTCACGGCTGATCCGTGCAAGAATTGTCGGGTTGTTGATCTTGTATCCATTAAGGTGGAGAACGGGAAGGACCGCTCCATCGGTGCATGGGTTAAGAAATTTCGTGCTGTGCCAGCTGGTCGCAAGGGGGCCCGTTTCCGACTCACCGTCTCCCACCATTACCAACGTTATGAGGTTGGGATGATCGAAGACTGTCCCGAAAGCGTGCGAGATAGAATATCCCAATTCACCACCCTCGTGGATACTGCCGGGCGTCTCAGGGGTCGCATGGCTGCCAATACCGCCCGGAAATGAGAACTGCTTGAAGAATCTTCGCATTCCTTCCATATCTTCACTTTTATCCGGATAGACCTCAGAGTACACACCCTCGAGGTACGACTGTGATAAAATTCCAGGAGCGCCGTGCCCGGGACCGGATATGAAAAGAACATTCAACTCATACTTTTTAATCAGGCGGTTCATATGAGTCCACGTAAAGGATTGGCCGGCGTCTGATCCCCAGTGTCCCAGGAGTCGAGCTTTGAGATGTTCCAGTGTGAGAGGCTCCTTGAGTAATGGATTGTCACGGAGATAGAGCATGCCCAGGCATAGGTACAAGCTAGCCTGAAAGTATGCGTTCATCTTGCGAACATCCTCCGCATCAAGACGGTTTCCGTTGACTGTCGAGCGAGCATTTCCGTAGGCGGAGATGCTATTGTTGCGAACTTTATTTCCACTTGGTGTCATTTTCCGTATTTTCAGTCGTTATGGCTTTTGCTGCAGTTCATGGCAGGAAGATTCTGCTTATTGTTCTCTTTCATCTGAAGTCGATGATTATATAAGAGGTATGTTGAGCTTGAAGAAGTTTTGTTGCATTGAAAGTTAAAAGGTGTGGTTCAAGAAGTTATTCGACGAGCTGAAATCGGAAACATGCATATTGCGCCCCTCTTTAAAGAGAATTCAGGCAGTATGAATTTCGTCAATCTAGATCAGGCCGCCCTCCGTGTAGAATTGTGACATGATTTGCGAACCATGGGTTTCTAAACTTTGCCTCAGCCTAATACAGAAAGTCTACGCATCATCTTTGAAGCCGGCACCTAGATGAAGCAGCTGCCACGTTAGGGACCAAAGGTCTTAAGAAAAGAAACTAAAGTCCGGGGTTGAGGACTCTTATCATCCTGGTAGTATATTTCAGGACATTCAGCATATATGAATGCCAAAGAGGCGGAGAGGGGGCCTGAATTAGATGAAATCTGATGTTTCCACCATTTTAGTAATATCTATATTATTTCACGGGCGGCTTCAGGCGCAGTTGTTTTAGCTTATTGTTTTGCGTTTACGGAACCTTTTTTCGCTCTAAATTAAATTCAAACCCACCCTAACTGCCGCTGTATCTCTATCTACAGTACTGAACTGCGGTTTCCGTAGAAGAATCAAAACAAAACTGAATCCGGAACTGTCAGTCTGCGTCCTTGAATGCTTGCCAGTGTGTAACTATCAAAATAAATAAATAAAAACGTAAGCGGCAGCTACCACAGCCACAGTGTAATATCCATTTGCGCATACTATCTTTTTGGACCACGGAAAATACGCAGTGCTTCGGCATTCCGCTGGGTGGATTATATCACCCAGATGAAACTTAATCTTGTGGTGTTGCTTTCCTTGTCGCACTGGCATCATTATGATGCAACACTACAAAAACTGTTAATACGAGTGCCGCCAAAAGGTTTTCGACACTCAAACCTTCTCTCTTATTCCACGGAATTAATCTTGCTAAGATGCAAAACTGATCTTCTTATCACGATCTTTAATCGATCTACAAAGAAATTTAAGTAATATTGTTCAGAATGCCGCCCGAGAATTCCCACGCCCACCACCTCAATAAGTACATTCTGACCCTTCTTTCACCAAGTCAAAATCTCTCTAAACATTTAGCAGGATCGGCGAATGGCTGCCAGCAGATCACATTGCTCACCAACAATGGCTAGGTGGAATTATCAAACATGTTGACAGCAAGGAGTATGCATTACATCCGGTTCTACAACAGTTCAAACATCTGATTGAAACCAACACCCGAGTCTACATGCTCATCGAAGGTATGCTCAAGGAAGTTCCATACAAGAAGCCTTATCTACAGGATCCGACCGGGCATCCCGAGATTCGCGATTACTATCATCTCCTTCGTGTTCTCAGTCACCTTTTGACCACCGCTCCATCGTGGACCGACAAGACTCACCGCGTCGGCCTGGTCGGTCTGCCCATCAGCGTGGTCTTGGATTGGCCTATGGGTACACCCAGTGGCTATGCTGCGTTTTTGGACCCTGAAATCAATGCCATGTTGAAGAAGGTTCTCAATGCATGGGGTGATTTCTTGCGTTCACCCGCGTCTGCCAATGTTTTGAACAGTACTTCCCAAGGCTGGTTCGGCGAGACTGGCCACCGCGACCTCACAGCAGTTGCGAAGATTGGCCCAACGGCTGCCGAGAACCTCGAGTTTCACCAGATGTTCCAATGTGACCCATCCGCACCAAACTTCGGCTTCAAGTCCTGGGACCACTTCTTCACTCGCTTGTGGCATGATGGAATGCGCCCGATCGCAGATCCGGAGGATAGTCGCGTCATTGTCAATGCATGCGAGTCGAAGCCATACAGAATTTCACACAACGTTCACGGCCGTGATAAATTCTGGATCAAGTCCCAGCCTTATTCTGTGCTTGACATGCTAGGCCATGACTCGCTCGCCTCCCAGTTTTTCGGGGAACAATCTATCAGGCGTTCCTTAGTGCATTGAGCTACCACCGCTGGCATGCACCTGTTTCTGGAAAGGTAATCAAAGCCTACGTTGTGGAAGGGACATACTACTCCGAGCCACTATTCGAAGGTGTTGGAAACCCATACGCTCACGCTCAGCATATTGATATTGAGGGCGAAGTTATCTCACAGGCGTACATTACTGCAACTGCCACGCGAGCACTGGTCTTCATTGAGGCAGACGAACCTGCCATTGGCCTAATGGCGTTTATTGGCGTCGGTATGGTTGAGGTTTCTACCTGCGATATCACTATCAAGAAAGGTGACCACGTCAAGAAGGGCGATGAGATTGGAATGTTCCATTTTGGTGGATCGACACATTGCCTTCTTTTTCGGGAGGGAGTCAGTGTTGCCGGCTTCCCTGAACCTGGGATGGAAGAGAACTTGCCTGTTTGCAGTCGGCTAGCTACGGTCGCATGAGAGGTGGAGAACCGAAGTATTCGTACCTAATTGAATCTGAATTCATTTGATACAAATAATAAAGAGTTCATCAAATATTTATAGATTAATGCTTGCTTTTCATGATTCTGGGCTTTTCTCGTCTTTCATCGACGGAGGAGGCCCTCGCGTGAAATTGGAGCCTGCTAAGCAGTCTCCCTGCATTCCCCAGCTTAGAGTTGTTGATAGGTTATCCTTAAATAAGTTACTTCAGAGCTAGGGTGCAATCTGAAAATCTGCAACCTATTGCAGCTCGAAATTTAAATGATCAAAGTTCTTACACTCAATCCACCCTCATATAAACCTGTACCAACTTCAATTCATGAAGACTGCTGAGTTGAATTCAGTATCGATTACATCCAATTCCACCTTCCGCGTGCCAGTGCTGGCAGAAATCCAGTAAGTGATCAAAAATAATACCTCGAATGGCAAACATTCCGGCGGAGTACACACCATCATCTGCAATCCCACGCATCCAGGCCTGGACCCGAAGGAGAGGTTCATCCTTCGTGCTGGAGAAAATTGAATTCCTCAATCTTTCCTGGAAAAAACGCGATCTGGACCAAGTGACAAATGATCATGGATGAAATTATGATCACATCCTCCATCACTGAAAATATAGTTGTGATGGTATTCCAGCAGCAACATCGCTGGAAATTGTATATAAAGCCGGTGATCAAGCGCGCGACAAAAGTGAACATCGCCCTCTGGAGCCTCTGGTAGCTCTAGCCAGAACAGAGGCGACAACTCTACTAAGTTTGTGCTATACCGGTGGTGGACTATACATCGAAATTTTGGTAAAACTGATTAGGAATAAGACCCACATTCGGCAAATGGGAAAGATTCAGCGCAACGCAATTCTGTACATTCTTTCCGCTTTTTAGGCGGCGATAAAAGCAGCTATGGATGTTGACAGACGGATCGGGGCATTTATGCTATATTCTTAGGATGAGAAGAAAAGCACATTAATGAGCAAGCGGATTCCATAGCGAGAGAATTTGTCAGGTACGTCCGTAAGCCTATGATCTTAACTCATTTCTCACGTATGACAGGTTCTTCGGCGTTGTGAACGTGGCTGACCTAGAAGGCGTCCCTGAAAGTATGGTGGAAGGCGATATTGGCTTCCATATGCATGGTGCAAGCAAGTATTGCCGATTTTGAAAGTACCATGACGCCGCAAAAGTGGTCTCTTGTTCCACTTTAAGCTCAGGATCTCAAAGGAGAAAATTTCAAGCTTTCCTTTTTCAGTGCCACGCCTTTGGGAAGGGCCATCCCATGCACGAAAAACACTCTTATCCGGTTCTTGCATTTGATAGGAGGGTTGATAGTAGATGGTAAGTAGATCAAACTTTTATCTTTATGATGCCCTTCTGCGAAACCGTGAGGAAGGCACAAAAGGAGCTTGAATCCATAGCCAGGAATGGGCTCAGGTGCGGTGAGAACGGTCTTCAAATCTATGCCATGTGCGAGATTCCGCAAACTTTCTTATCCAGGCTGGTATCGATATAATGTCTGTTAGTCCTGGCAGCAAGAAAAATGCTGATTTCAGTGAGTAAGGATAATTACTGGCCGGCACAATAATCCTTTCAATTTTTCTAGGCTCTATATGCATTTTTGAAAATTGCTCTCGTGTCTTTCGGGGACAAGGGCATCCAAGGTTACTATCAATATACGAACTGTCTTTCGATTTACAGAAATAACGACCACGACTTTCAAGACCAACTTCTTCCCTGCCGCCCCACACCTTTCATGATTTGAGGTGTCCTCCCCCCTAGCCCTGTCGCTATACGATAGCTAACTTACCTAGTAATAGTTTCTGGCTACACACTCCCGAATGTTGTATCCGTGCCGTACAATAGCAATTTATCTTTCACTGTGTCAAAATGATCGAAAGTGTCGTATGGGCATGATATAGTGTTATAGTTACTCGGAAGCTGAGCAGATTGGAAATTAGACTTGAACAGAAATCGATCCTCCATGTTTCAAACATACTGCTGTTCCAGAAATCCAGAAATCTGGCCTCTTAGGCCAAAAGTGAAGTAACGATACTTTGAACAAACCAAAGAGAAATGAAATAAGATAAACTGGGAAAGATGCATGATCATGGAACAAAATTAAGGTCATATAACCCCGGATTTTATTAAGGAAAATCTCCAATCCAACTCTCGATAGTGACTTTCTTGTTGATGGATATTGAAGCGCCTTTCGGTACAATTAGTGAGATTATACCGTCTCTCAAATGAGCGTGAGCTCCATCCACGTCAACTGAAGTTGGGAAACTGAAGATGCGTCCGAAGTCTCCAACCGAACGTTCTAAAACACACCATACGCCTCCCTTCACATCCGAAGATGACTGACGTTCGGACTGGCCCTTGAGGATGAGCGTGTGCTGATCTCGTAATTCAACGTAAAGGTTCTTTGATTGGACGCCAGGGAGCTCTCCATAAAAATAGTACGCGTCTTCAGTCTCGCAAATATCGAAGGATGGCGCACAGATTGGAAGATCTGATCCGGGGTTTAAGTTGGACAGGTAGTTGTCATAGTTATCTAACAGACGGGCAATCGAGGAGAGAGCTCCCCGGTGGAGCTGCGGAATCAAAGACATCTCGGAAATCCACTGAAGATTTTCCAGGTGTGTGACTAGTAAATAATGCAATAGAAAATATAAAGACTCTCGGGAGTGATGGTCAGGTTTAAATGGAATCAGATTTAAAACATTTGGATTTCAAGATTGTAGGGGAAGGAAGACCATACACATGGCCTCAGTCAGAACTGGCAAGCATACAAATTCATTTCGCCACGGTATGGTTAGGTAACTATGACGTAATTTTTTAATTTCTGACAAACTGAAGAAGTGGTCAAATACCACTAGGACCCTTCGGGACAGGCTTATTCATCGTTCACCTAATTTCCGTCTAGTATGGTGTCATAACACGCCATAGTTCGAGGATAGAGACCCCTGAGATCGTTCAACCGATCTCAACACCTTCAATCAATCTACAATCAATCATCTGATTCTATTGGACATGTTCAGTACTAGCCAGTACATCGATTCCTCATACTGACATATCATACCGACGGTTCTTCCGGGTAAATACTCAGTTAGATCAGCGTTTTCAGCTCCATAAGTGTCCTTCTTCTGATCATGCCGACACAAAATGATAATTGAACAGGATCAGAGGACCCAGGCTTCCTATCGCTGGTACTCCGATGGAATGTTTCCTATTTTACTGCCAAGAATGTACGCAATAGCGTGGGTCCGGGGATATATATATCGCAGATAACGGTCGAGCACACATACAATAGCGGCATTACCTTATGGCTGCAGACCCTGCTAACAGATACAGAATATCACCAAAGAGCACGCGACGAAGCTCGAGTCACATAAAAGAGCGACCGGAGTAAACAATGATACAACTTACCATCGATAATGTACACTTTAACAAAGTTTTTGAATTGGCAACCTACGTCGATTGCGCAACTCAACTCCTAGCTCATGGTTGGATTTTTACAAAACAAACTGCATGTACAGTGTATTGAATATACTGCAAGTTGCTGTACTAACAGATCGAAGCTGATAGAAATCACCATTTCGCACTGTATATCAACTTTTGAATTCGTGAGGGAACGAGGATCCCCGCTTTTAATACTACATAGGGTCAATTATCAGTGCGCTCATTCCGGCTGGCCCTGCCGGTGATGTCCTGCCAGTTAGCATTAAAACGTCTGCCTGTGCTAGCCAATAATCCTTCCTGCTCAGCCTCATCGGTAGCTTCGTCGAGCTGTCTTTCGCCCAAATTGGGAAAGCGAAACAGAGAGGCAAGAAAGGTGACAAGAGAAATGCCTATTACATTGGGACATCGTTAGCTCGAGAATCATTTGACTGGATTTAAAGAAAGTCTTGCCTACCAAGAAAGAGGAACTGGGCCCAAAAGAACACGGCGCCAAAGAAAGGAAAATTCAGAGTGATGCGATTAAGGAAGGTGCTGCCAATACAGGGTGTGCAAACATGCTGTGCCGCAGGGTTTTCTGCCAGCTCTGAGCATGGTTTGATAAGATCTTTGTTGTTTGAGCAGTCCGGCATCTCCAGGGGCGGCTCAGGGGCACGATCACAGAATGTTTGTGGGCCGAATGTTGCGTACTGGGGAGCAACCACCATCGAGATAGAATAGTTCAACGCTAAAATGATTAGCATCAACATAGCGGTCGCTAGGAGTAGAGATTGGGGAGACGTGTGTCCCTGTCGAATTTCGAAGACTCTGATCCATAGAAAGCGGATTCCCACTGCAGCGATCCCGGCAATAGAACTGCAGAAGAAAAAAAGGGCGAGCACAATGAACATAACATAGTCAATAGGAAATATCTTGGCGGATTGAATGAGAGCCCAGTTGATTGGATTGAAAAAATTGACGCTTCCGAGGATATATCCACAAAGACTCTTGCACGTCGAGTTTTTGGCTTTGTCAACTGCCGTGAAAAGCATAGACACCCATGTAATGGACGCGACTAAAAGCAGTAGAATTCCACCCAGGAGCTTGAAGGGACGGAAGACCGACTCCATCTTGTACCAAGCCATCACCAAGCAGCTCCAAGCTTCGCCCTGAGCTTCTTCTACCAGGCGTTGTCGCTGAATAAGTGTCCTCTCCTCCCGTGCAAGAGTATCGAGCTCCCTACGATCACAAGATGATAGGAGGTCGGGATTCCCTCTGGAACGGCCTTCAAGCTGACGTTGCCGCTCATGATTTATCTCTAATCGTACTGCTGTACTGTCTCGCGAGCCTAAAGTGGATATTGATGGGGCGGTCTTGATCAAGCTGATTGGGAAGAGGAGGAGACCCAAGGAAGTATACAGGACGTAAAGGCAGATCCCGACGGTCATTAGCACCCCAAGGGCAAACGTCAGAGCACGTTCCCCACCTATATAAATTGTATCAACTTTTCAATCTCAAAATCCTATGGAAAGCCGGAAATGCTCACGATTTTCAGTCAATAATTTCTTGAAGTAGCCCAAGTCCATGCCATTCTTGTTCCTTGTCACTGGGACAAAAAAGCCGACAAGTAACAGGACAACCACAATCGTAACGAATGCCATGGTGTACTTAAGGGCGCCCAAAAGTCGCTGCCTAGCCGTTTGCAGGCCTGTTTCTGTCGCAATCTCATCATATCCATCGTACCAGAAATACGCAAATGGAATTCCCAGAAGACAAAGTAATGCATCCAAGGAATATAGGATGTAATATACAACTGTCAAGGAGGAAGTTATCTTATCGACGTCATCCTGCGTAGCCCAGTCCTTCCGCTGGCCAAGCTTGGAAGAGGTTGTCGATGAAACGAGCGCCACATCCACCGGCAGAAGGGCCACTGTCGCAAGAAGACTGGTTATTGCGATCACACATGTGAAAGTCACAGATGGATAACGATCCCGAGGAGTCTGGTAGATATGAACAAAGACAGAAGCCACCGCAAGCAACATTATTACCACGAACGCATACACGGCCCAAATCAGGGATATATGAACGAGTGCCATTGTAGATAACTGGTCTCGTCGGCAATTTCACAGGAGCCAGTAAATAACTGGGAGAGCTGCAGATCACGGCCTCTTGAAGCAGGGCAAAACTTATGAGACTGCCGAGAGAAGCAAACTAGTACCAAACGCAGCACGATGATTTATTATAATGTCTTGGGGTGGACAATTAGCTAAAGCCTGATCGATGACGATGCTTTCCCTTAACAGGAACTAGAGATTTTAGATGGCGCGAATCGATGATTGGTCACCAAATCTGAACTAGCTCTCGTCGCAGAAATGGCGTTGATCGTGTGACGTCGTCCCGACCATGGGGGGGGGGGAAGGGGACGCCACCCGTACGAGTTTGCCGTTTGCCGACGCGTAGGTATGGTTAAGATGCTGCCGGATTTATTTCGATACTATTCCACTTTTTTAGAGGAAATCGAGCGGCTCGTGATCGAACTTTTGCCATCTTATACAGGGAGTCGTCAGTATATGATGAATACTCTCCAAATTACCACAGTACCACAGATAGATTTGCTACGGTGGTAAAAAGCCGCAGATGGCAAAATTTAGTTTATTAAATACAGTGTCGCTACATTTAATGCAGGAAGGTTTGTATCACTTGAAAAAAAATGATAATGGAGGCGCAGCCAGCGCCGTCATCTTTATGATATCCCTGGCTACTGTAGATATGTTCCTGATGTATGCAATTGTTCCAGAGACTCAAGGCTGCCGGAAATCGGGGTCCAGGATGCATTAGAGCCCGCCATGAACATGAGCAAATCGTCGATGCTGGTATCGGAATTTGATATGAGCTCCGACATATCTGTGTCAGCGTCGAGCACTGCTGAGGTACTTGGTATTATACTCAAAGAAGACAGAGTTTCTTCAGAATCTTGAGTTCGTGTGTCGTCGTGTATATTGCCATACCTAGAAAAATTGGGTGAATCCATCCACTTATAAAACTCCCGATCATTCAAGGCTTGCACTTCTTGCTGAGGCGCCATTGCATTCTCTTCGGGGAGAGTCTCGAAGCCATGGAAAGTTCGGATCGCGGGAAGTTTGAAATGATCCAAACGTCGCAGGGATGCCGCTCAGGTCGAGGTCATTAGCTGGGGCTATGCGATCAATACAGCTGCTGAAGAACTGAAATGCTCGTCGAGCGGCTTCTGAAGTCCTTCCCAGACAATGCAGCCAAGAAAGACCTTTCTTCGTCCTCGTCCAAACCAGGTCTGACGATTCAACAGCAACCGTCTTTTCACCTGACCTCGTCGGTATTGGACCAATTGAAATATCGAGAAGTAATATTACAGTCGCCTGAGTAAGAACATGTAATAGATCCCACCACTGCAGGACTTTATAACACCAAACCAGGTCTGGTTGATCTGGTAGTAGTGCCATGACAGCTAAGGACGCACGGAGACAGTTGAGGGCGGTGGTATTGGCAAATCGGGAACGAGAAGGCTGTGAGCCGCTTTTCTTTCCAAATACATGGCTGTTGAGGCAAGGGCGATTAAGCACGATGCGGGCGCTGTAGTAATTCAAGGCAAGAGAAATTTGAAAGGGCGAGCTGATTCTCAGTTGTAAATTGCCTTGGCTGTCTTGGAAACTGAACGAAGGATGTAAAGTCGATATCCAATAATCCATCTTCTTGCTATAAAATTCTATACGGCTTTCCACTCGCGCTCGGCCGGCCCGGGAACTGTCGATCGCATATACTTCATTAGTGATGGTATGGGCGATCAAAGACAGGTCTACCATATAGAAAAGGTAGAGGGGCTGACTGGGAGCTAGAGACTGTAAAAGCTTTCTCTGGAAAGCCATCTCCCTCTTTCCCAAAACTATAGTCCATTGGGGTGTGTCGGTTGATGGGTGGATGTCCGGTCCTGCGGACTCCAGAACAGGACCGAGAAGTGGCGGAGGCGTGGAGCAGAAAGCACTTCCGAGGCAGGAAATTCTCCCGGTCATGACAGAAAGAACATTCTCCAGGCGGAAAATCGACCACCACAGTAGCTTGCGAGCTTCGTCTGATTTCAAATCGTGCTCACCTGTCTTTTGCTGAAGATTGAGCCCTAGCGCGATACCCGAGCGAACCGCAATGCCAATTATTTTCCATGATCTGAGATAGTGTTAAAAGCCAGAGCGATATAGAAAGGATTCGTCAATTGGAATGGCGACTCTTGAGGAACACACGTCATACCGATTTATCTGTGATACGACCAGGAAGTAGAACGCCAACAGGGCTTCGGCCTGTACTTGCTGGAGATCATCATGATCATAGATAACGCTCTCTGAAAGGCTCAGAGATTTAGCCCGTGCTAAAAAGAGATTCTCATCTGCCCCTTGCTGTAGGTTCTGTTCAGAAAGTCGACAAATAGCGCACCCGATGGCGAAGATCATATTGAAAATGGCCAACCATTTTCTGCCTGGATTTATAAAGCCCCCGGAGTAGCAGTGGTCGTACTGAGCAATAAAGAGGTCCCGTCGAATGAATGGGAAAGACATGTCAACCTTGGTCAGATAAATTTGGAATAATTGATCTGCTAGCGATTTTGGTGGCAAGATGAAAGCATTGTTTACATTCAAATTTGAGATAGTTTGATAGTCGAGGTTGTAGTTCATTGATGCAATTGAATCGTCAACTGGAAGTTGGTGCCGTGGTATCATATTTGGAGGGGCTTCTCTGTCACTGTGCTTCGTAGCTTCTGAGTCTAAGCGCTGCATCCACATAACTTCAGAATTCTTCCCCATATGCCCAGTCGCCCTGCTTTTTTCGCTCCGATTAAGGTCCTCCTTCAAAACATCAATTGCGTCCAAAGAGCCGATCGAGGACGAGGACGAGGTACTAGATGGCCTGTTCCGATGCCCTTCCGAGTTTGCACCACACGGGCTCTGTAGATGCTTTCGTTAGTGTCTTCAAGATTCCAACATCGCCGATTCAAGTACTAATACATACATTGAGCGCCTTCGCAACTTGGTCAGCGGTAGATACCTCGAGTTCTCCTAGAATATTTCGAAGTATTTCCTCGTAGTTTTCAATCTTCCTTTTCATCAACTCTAGGTCTTTTTGCTGTCTAATAGCTTTAGCATCGGAATAAAAACAGTTGTTTAAGCCCTGGGTTTGACAAAAAGAGCAGGTCGGCCGGTTGCCATCACATTTGATTTTTCGTTGTCGACAAGAGTCGCAAGCCTGGCTGGTTCGTCGCCCACTGCTTTCCCGTCTTTCACGTCGTAACCGTGGAATGGGAAGCTTATCAGGCATCCCCACACGGCAATTCATACTTAAAGTCGTCAATTTCGGATACAGAAGTAGATTTGGTCGAGAGCATAAAACCACAGATACTGCTAAAGATAATGAAAGCATGACATGCGCCGCTGTATTTGAAGGTGCGGTCACTCTTGCCCCCGTTACGTCATGGTATCTAGCACGGTACGATTACATCAGCAGATCTATCCACCGAGCCAATGAGGGCCAACCTTTATCAGGATCTCCCAGTGTGCGTGTCATCATATGCCCGCAGAGTGAAGTGTGACTCTACGGGTTGCAGCAATGCGAAGACTGGGTGTATCAACAGTGCTATTCACTGATGATAAAATACCTCACTAACAATTGGAGAGAATTGATGAGATACGAGTGCGGATCAGGAACAAAGCAGCACTCCCGGAAATAATTTGCAAAGCGCCTTTACGAAAAAATAGTTGTTAGTCTAAGTAGAGTATGGGTGAGTGGTTTTACTTACGCTGACACCTTGCTTTCAGTTGAAACCATGGATTGGGGTACTGTACAAGTGTGATAATTATTTAAGCTATGAAGATACCGGAGATTTGTACCTGCAGTAGCTCACCATGCTACTGCCTTGTGAAGTGGCTGCCTGTGTTAGGCCCCCATTTCTACACAGGCCTAGGCCTCGCCAAAACCCGCCCACCGCCCAAACCCGCCCGCGAAAACCCAGCCCATGGGCCGGGTTGGGTCTTAGTCAGCAAACCCGTGGGCGTGTTGTTTTATTAAGTGATGCTTCAATGGTCATACTGTATTATTGAGGGGAGTTGATTGTGTGTTGTGTTGGATGTGTTGTCATGTAAACTGAGAAGTCAGGTATATGTTTGTGCACGTGATCCCAGCCTCATTATTATCCCAGCAACCGGGATATTCCAACAGCCAAAACCCGCGGTGGGTTGCCCGTGGGCGGGTAAGGAAATTGAATACCCAACCCAAACCCGCGTTTGGCGAGGTCTACACAGGCCTATATACACCACGTGACCTAAGATTCAACTCAAAGCGAGAGATCAGTGCAAATGAAACTGGTGACGCGCGCTGCGCACGCTGTGGCCCTGAAACGATGAAAACGAAGGGCAGGTGAAGGAAAATGGATGTCGTTTTGCAGAATATTGACAGTTGATAATGCAAATGAGCGTTGACCAATGAGAAGGCAGACAGTATGACTAATAGCCGGAACGGCAAAATCTAGAAAAAAAGGAAACCCAAAGAATCTGATCATCAGCCATCATATTTGGATTGTGCAAGTGTATCGGCGTATGATGTTTTACGTTTTCTTCGAGAACGCCTCTCTGGGGTTGGCGTTGCAGCAGCTGGCGAGGGTTCGTTTTCGTCAGTGGTTTCTGGCCATGTAATTTGTGTGGATTCCTCATCCTCGTTATCAAGAGCAACTACTTCAGGTGAACGTAGTTTCGGATGGGTAAGGAGCGATTCAGTCCGCGAAATTGGCACCGATTTGCTCGGGGTTTGAGGGCCAGCCCTTTGAGACCAACGGTCTACACGTTTCCGTTTACCAGTCGATGAAGGGGTGGCGGGTAAAGGATGAGTCGGTCTTGGGAGGAAATGTATATCGTCAGTGACGACCGCTAATTGGCGACTTTCTTTTGTGAGGCCGAAAATGCGACCTGTCAAGAAAACATAGGAATTTGGGTTCAGTGGCGGAAACTTCGCCCATCGCTGCCCATCGCTGACCACTTTTGAAGTACGCGGTGACTGGGAAGGTGTGGTGGGCCCGATCAGAAGTGTTGTAGACAGTAGTTTGGAGACGGTAATGAAGAAGAGTTGGCCCGTCGTTTAGCTGACCCCCGCGTTCAAGTACAATACCGAGGAATGTCACCGTAGGTTGAGCAGCTTCGGGACAGTGCATGAAATATATATCGGCGTCTTCTTCATCACCCGGATGACTAGATCGTGTTAGCTTAGTTCAGTGGCGGTTACTGTAAACTCACCGGTCTAAAGTGTGAGCTTGGATGATAATATGAAAATCATCGTCACCGGATGAGGTGGTTAGGAAAGATCCCGAGGAGTAGATGAAGGTGTTTGACTTATAAAGGTCGGACTGGTTACCCTCATTAAAAAATCTAAGCAGTGTAGGGATTTCATCCTGTTCCACGTCGTCTGATTGATTGTCCTTTAAGAGTATGTTGAGTGATATACAAAGCTGCATCGAAAACTGTTGGTATCACCAGCTAGGTCCTGTGTACACAGTCAAGTGAACAGTTTATGCTTCTAAAGCAAAGGTTGATTGATTCGTGTAGCAGTGCCGCACTCGTATTACAATACTGCGCGCACCCCACCTGGCGGTGAGGGTGCGCGTCACAATTAGAACAATTGTCAGAATTAGAACAAATTCACACAACCAGCCTTCGTGAAGCTATTACCATCCACCATTATGCCGTATCGACCCAAAATTGACGAATCTCGTGTGGCTGAGGCTTGCGAAGCCGCCAGTCTCCTTGAAAACCCGAATTTGTCGCAAATCGCGAGGCAATATGGTGTTTCATATGGGGTATTGCGGGGACGCATCCGCCAGGGTAAACAGCCTCGTACAGCACCAAAACCTGAAAATCGAGCTCTTGATAATACTCAGGAGGAAGCCTTGATTCTGTGGATTGTAGAATTGAACAAATATCATATGCCAGTAACCCCGGCGTTGCTCCATGAGATGGCGCAGCTCTCGTTAGTTCGCGCAGGCTCAGATCATATCTTAGGCGATCGCTGGGCTTATCGCTTTATTAAGCGTTTGCCAGAGGATGTGAAACTATCGCCAGTGAAGCAGAGAACGAAGGAGTATAAGCGTATTAAGGCAGAGGACGCATGGAAGCTCGATGTGTGGTATATGAAGCTGAAAAATGTGATCAAAAAGAATACCCCAGCACGGTTGGTATACAACTTTGACGAATGTGGTTTCCAACCAGGAAAAGGCAAGAATCGAAAAGTGATAGGGCAGGAAGGAGGGCCTGATCTTGGAGAAAACGAGCATTCAGAGACTATTACTGCTCTAGAGTGTATTGCTGCAGATGGTTGGTTTATGGACCCGTTGTTCGTTTTCAAAGGTACCACCTTCCAAGAAGTTTGGTATGACAACAGCGAGGGCCTTCCACCACGTACACTTACAGCAGTCTCTCCAAATGGCTGGATTTCTGATGAACTACTTCTTGAGTGGCTTGGTCACTTCCAGGAAGCAACAAAAGAGCGAGTAGAACCTAATGAGAAGCGTATTATGATCTTTGATGGTCATAACTCTCATCTTACGGTTGAATTCCTCGAAAAATGTCAGGAATATGAGATTTTACCAATCGCATTTGAGCCTCATACAACTCATATATCTCAGCCTCTTGATGGCAAGCCTTTTTTGGCTTATAAACAGCATTTCAAGGTGGTTAATAATGAGATGTCGTACTTTGCAGGTATGCCGGCTGGTAAATCAGAGTTCTTGAGAGTCATCACCAGAGTACGCGCCCGTACTTTCAACACTCGAATTATCCGAGATTCGTTTAAAGAACGTGGTATTTTCCCAGTCAATGGCAAAGATATTGTTAAGAAGCTTCGTATGAAGCTTCCAATAAGTTCTGAGGACCTTGATATCGATACATCTCAGCTACGACTACACGGAGAAGAGCATACACCACCTCCTCCTGAACCTGGATCATCCAGTATTGAGAATTCACCTCCAAAATCAATACAAGCTGCCAAAAGGAATCATCGGAAGCTGGAGAAGCTATTCAGAAAAGAGAGAATATCCCCAAAGCTTCAGCGAGGGTTAAATCGAGTTCTGAAACATCAGGGTGTTATCATAGAACACGCAGCATTAACCAAAGATATTGTTCGTCGTATATCAGCTGCACGTCGTCCTCTACAACGCCAGTTTCACAAGCGACAGGTAAAGCCACTCTCTGGCTCTAATATACTGAGTGTACGTGATGCCAACTACTCAATTAAAGCCAGAAAGGAGAAGGAAGCAACAAAGGTCGCAAAACAAGCTGCAAAACGAATAGGCCACAAGCTCAACCAACCAACAGCAACAGAGGTTTCACAGGCAAAGCAGGCATCATTAGATGCGGAAAAAGCTGCCCGAGAGGGTGGATTACTTTTTTGGTTCGATTCAAATCCAGTGCGTTGAAAAACGTTGTAAATAGTTTCAATTTGTTCTAATTCTGACAATTGTTCTAATTGTGACGCGCACCCTCACCGCCAGGTGGGGTGCGCGCAGTATTGTAATACGAGTGCGGCACTGCTATATGATAGATGTGTCTCCGGTCAAGGCCAAATACCCCTGAATCCATGCGGTGGGAGCCGCAGCTTAGCAAGATTACGTACAACATGTCTTTGCTTATTCTGACGGGAGGATATATCCCGACAAAAACCCTTTACCGGGAGGTGTAGGGTCCGGCTCGACATGCTCGACGAAGTCCCGAATATGGATAATAGCTGGACAAGTCGAATTTGAAGCCATCGTGTTATTCAGCGTACATCACATCTAGACGGAATATGTGGCTCAAACATTTAGAAAGGGTATAGGGGGGGATGGAATAGGTAGAGGGTAAGAGGAGTTCTTGTGGGAATGCCCACGGTGTACCATGAGGGAAGATCCCTGTTGTCGGTACGAATCTGCATATGATACGTCTCGTGTACATGTCACCACAAGCTCGAGGAAGAAAATTAGTGGATGATTTTAGGTTTTGCTAATCACTACCTGCGTATAAAGGACGTGGAGATAAATGATTCGTGGAGGTGCTAGTTAACAAGGTCCGAGGTAGGTGTTCTACCATTAGCAGTTTAGGGTAACCTCCACCCGTGCACAGCGTAGACATGCACATGGACTAACACATGTTAGAAGCGATCATCCCAGTCACATAGGAATGCTCGGCGTTTTACGGTCACAGCCATCGGGCATGTTAGTGTGTAGCAGAACCTGGATTCCCGTGGTCGAGTGATTGGTTAAGGGTTAAAAGGCTTCTCATATTTGGATTCTGGGCCAAGCAAGAAGGGAACAGATATGTGCAGCCTGGGCGGAAATAGTGGAAAGGTGTTTTTGACGAGAACCACGATGTTGTCAAGTCGCTAAATTATCTAGGAAATGAAGTAGCTAAGGCTCCCATTCATCTAGTGGCATTCTTTGCAACTCGTGAAGTCTTTGCATTTCGGCGAGTATCCGTGGAGCAGGTTCGAATTGGAGGTCGTTCATTTCGATTTCCTGCAGAAGATAAAGCCCTTCGCGCGTTCGCATTCGTGATAATTGTACGTAGGTCGAGCAGAACTTCTGGTGACGGTCTCGACCGCGCATCGTCGGGTCATCCTTGAGGTCAAGGATCGCAGAGTCAAGAGTAGACCCCTGCACTTTATAATCGGTAAGGCAGAACGCAGGGCACATAGGAACTTGTTTCCTGCGGATAGAGTAACCCTTCACAGTGATCGATCTCTCTAAGGGGAAGATAGGAACGACGGCGGGCGCAAGGCCTTCGAAAAAGGAGGCGGTTGATTTATCCCGTTCAAATAAAACACATGCGGGAAGGACATAGAGATCGTCAATTTCATAGAAGTCGGCTAAGAGAGTGCAATATTAGGTTATCGTCCCCTTACAAAGGAGTGTGACTCACAAGCAGGGTCGACCACAACACCAACAGCGGCCCCAGTCGCCCCATTTATCAGCCCCATCCGGGTACAAATATTTGTCAATACAGCACAAGGCATATTTTGGGTATACAGAAACATCCCTGGGAACGGGATTCTGGTACCCTGATCTGGCTGCTGGAGCAAGTCATCGACACGCAACCGTAGGTTGACTGGTCCAGTAGACTTGGTTCGTGTGTGATAGGCAGGGAAAGCGTAGATCTTTTGACAGCGTGTCGTAGCAAAATGCTCCATTCGAATACGGTTAACCTGGTGTCGAAGCGAATTCAGCTTCACCACCGTTGTGGCGGCGCCTAAGTGAGGGGCAACCAAGGAACTGATGACTAGAGTTAAGGAGGTACAGGTCGTCTTCCGTTAATGTTGATGTCCTCGCCCGATGGAGGAGACATCGAAATGGCAGGTCCGTGGACTGCCGCATCTGCTCGTCTAAAATGATCACGTTGCTGAACTGATGCCATAAGAGCCGACCATCTTCATCTTCAGCATTACCCCTTCTGGGTTCCTTCCATAGTGCTGGTCCTCGCACCGGTGGGAACTGAAAAAAGTCACCCATAAGGATCACAATGGGCAAAGCACCGAATAAATCGGGTGACCCCCTATCAAGGGACCTCGCTGTTTTGCAGTGGTTATTAATCACACTAAGCATACTGAGATCCATCATGCTGATCTCATCGATGATCATAATTGTCTTCCGCGACCAGAGTTTCCGCACACGAGCAGCCATTGCATGTCCCTGAGAGCGAGTAATAGAAATACCTAGGGAGGTGTGGAGTGTGTTACCACCAATATTGTCGGCTGCGGCACCAGTTGGAGCCATCAGAATTACCTCGTCTCTACGGTGGATAAGGTCCATCCCGGCAATAATGCCTTTGATAATTTGACTCTTACCCACGCCTCCTTCGCCTCCAACATAAAGAAGGGTCTGACGTCGCTTTGAAGCATCGTAGGGATGGTCTGCCCAGCGCAGTGCTTCTCCAAAGATCCGTTCGACGACCAATCGCTGTTTGGTATTCAAGGGAATAGTTTCAGTGACAATTGAAGTTAAAGAGACAGGGGTGCAAGTGCCGTCAAGATTGGGCTGGTGGTCAGGAAGGGCATTGATAGATTGTCGTTCAATGAGTATCGGCTCTAAAATGGCGTCAGCCACATTCAAGTTGAAATCATCCAGCTGATATGCCGGTCCTGTGACAGCATCTTGCGCATAGCCATGTTCCATAAGCTTGGCAAGTTCCCTGAGACGTGTTTCCCATTGCTGCAACGTGGATGGCGGAAACAAGCGCAGGCCAGATGACCTATACGCAGGGTTATCAACGAGGTTGAGCGGTAGGAGGTTTTGCAGTGGTAGGCCACGGTTCTGAGTTACCGCGGGTGCTAATGAGGGGATGCATCGCGCAGCGGCGAGTGTTTGGCGGTCCCAACACTTAGCTATGGAGTGATAGGCGGCGATTAGAGTCTCGACGCTAACACACTCATCTAAACTCATCAAGGATTCGTCAGAATCAGAATCCAGATTGTCGACTTCGAGCTCATCAA